TAGTCACGAGTTCGCATCCAAGGGCAGGATAAAAAAAAAAAAAAAAAAAAAAAAAAAAAAAAAAAAAAAAAAAAAAAAAAAAAAGAGGGGTATCTCTAAGCCTTAGGGACAGAGTGGCTGAGCAGGCTAATGTGTGTGTCCAGCACCACACATTGCCTGGCGACCTGGATCTAATTAGATAAATAATTATGAATTTGCGTCCCGTTGCCTTGGGGGAGGGGACTTTTAACTCTGGCATTAATCTCCCGCCCTCGCTCCCTGCCACAGGAAAACCTCATATAGCCTAAAAGGCAAGAAAGGGGAAGTCGTCTTCCCTCCCCCAATAAAAAAATGTCTAAGCCTTATTGAGTAGTGACTTTTAGTTGTAATATATTGCGAGTCAACGGGGTATACGTGTGATTCTATGAACAGTGACTTCCTCTATCCCCAAGCCATTCTGTTGACTTAAAGCCATGAAAATGTCTTATCAAATAGGATCAGTATTGCTTCCTCACCATTTCTATTGTTTTCATAATTGCATATATTTCATGGTCTGTGATTTGATTTGAGAAAATAATCTACAGGAGAAGCTATTTTTTAAGTATAGTTTTGTCAAGGAAAAATGCAAACCTTAATGAAAGAAGTAGATGAAATTTGATAAAACCATTACTGGGCCATCTGAGTATCATTGTTCATGATCAATGGAAATTACATCAAATCTTATTAATGGCAGACAGAAAATAAGGCAAGAAGCAAAAGTATTGGATAGAGTTTGATGAAATTGATACGAGACCTTCTTATTAAACGACACAGTCTTTGCAATTGTCACAAAAATTGGATTAACGGTAGTAGATGATATGGCCTGACTTCCTGTTTCCTTCTGAAAATATCCCATGAAGAGGAATAGACATTTTTTCACAGCAAAAATTTATTTTACTGGCTCTCGTATTCGTATCAAGTGCTGATTATTTTCAGAATTCAGTTTATAGACATCTAGAGATGGTTAACCACATTGTAGCTGGTTAATGTTTTTATTGCAACAGAAAACTGGGAAATGTTTAAGTTTTTATCAGTTTTGCATGACTTTTTTATCAATGATCGGTATGTTTTTCATTCCGTTATCCTCTTCCCTATAAGTTTTAATTATCTTTGAAACAAAGGTTCAAAAATCTGTGAAGAAATGAGATCCTAAAAAGGAAAACTATTTATTTTTTATCATTGCAAAAAAATTCACTTTCGTAGAATCACTCACATATTCTGAAGTTATACCATAATAAGTAGTGAAAGATTAACTGTTAATCGATGTCTAATGGGTTCAGAGATGGGCGAAATCGGAATTATTGATTATATGATTACAACTGAAAATAAAACTTAATGACCACACCAATTTTATACTTGATTCAATAGCACTATAAATATAGCAAAATGTGACATGATTACCTGATTGCAATCGTAATCGGAAACAAGATTACAATTGTAACCGGGTTATCACATAATCAAAACCACTGTAATCGTAATAATTGAAGATGATTATGCCCATGTATGAATGTGTTGAAACTGGGCTGGAAATTTAAAATGTGGGGAAACTTTTGAAAATAGAAAGAAACATATATAAAAAGAAAATAGGCAAGTTAACCGGTATTCATTGAATTGAATTAGCTATTTTAATACTCATTACCTATCTAATTCATGATGTTTGTTTATCTAATTAAATTATTAAATTAATGCTTCTTGTCCCACTTCATAAACTGATTTTTATCATTTTATTTGTTCGAATATTACTACTTTTTTTAGAATTTCGTGAGTATAACAAAATATAGTAAGTTTTTTTTTATTTGATTCTTGTACTAGTTTGTGTATTGAAATAACGTTTATGTATTTATAAATGTTAATTTGACAATGTAGTGTCAGAATTACACTATTTACATTGTAAGCACTCACTTATCTAGTAATCATTCAACTTACTTAATGCCTTAACAGGCCCATTTTAGGGGAGGAGATCATTGTATATCTTATATTTTCTAGTTTTATAATAAAATTTACTTTTTAAATCTATGCTTAAAAATAATTTAATGCTGCAGATCAAAGAAACTTTTCATTTTTTAGAATATGTATCTGTATGTATACATCAGATTTATTTATAGTAATATAAAAAATCAGGAACATCTACCTTTCTCTAATTTCTGGGGACTTAGGGGACTGTTAATTTACTGGAAAGATTTATTTGGATTTTTTTCTATACTATTAACTATTTTTTAAATGTTTCAAAAACATAATAGAGTAATGTGCAGACATTGTTCTGGCCACATTGCAGATACTCAGGGTTGCAGCTAAGATTTCCTCTTCCTTTCATTCGTTCGCTCTGCAAATCCCTTTCATTTGATCAGATTCTAGTTTGAATAAACGTATATATATATTTAAAAAATTACATAATTAAACTAAATTCATTTTTTATTTAAGTCCCGACAGTCACACTTAAGTAGATGTAATATAAAAAATGTTTCATATTTTAAGTGTGCCTTATCGCTTTACTTTTCTGATGTATCATTTATATCTATCGAATGAGTTCATGTTAATTCCCCAAAATGCTGGATAAGAGAGTGTTTATTTTATATATTCAATGGAAAATATGTTGTATTTTTCATCCAATCCATTTCATCTTAGCAGAAAGAAGATTGAAGTATTTAGAAGAAATAAGAATGAAACTGTTGCCTGCACTTTTACTAATCTGTTCTTTTTCTAATAATAATTTAATCAGCATGTTATAATATTTCTTCTTCTTCTTTAATTTTTATTTGATATAAAAACCTATCAATAGACAAGTTCTTGTTTATTTTTTAGACCTTTGTATTTTTCAAAAAATATGTTTGAAATGCATGATTGATTGTATTTAATTTTGAAAGTAATGAACAAAATTTTGAGATAGCAAATAAAACATTCTTACTTACTTTTGATTTAAAAAAAAAAAAAGAAAAGAAAAAAGAATTGGAACATAACAAGAAAAATGTGATCATCATTCATTGATTTTAAAATGTTTAGTGTTTCAGCAGTTCATGTTCTAATATGAACAAAGCTGTAGAAGAATTATGAAGTTGGTGATTGTCTTTCCACGTTGATACAAAGTCTTTTATTGTCTTTTCTTGTTGTTAATCATTCATATTGGATTTTAATGATTTGGAAGAGGAAAGACGAAAAAGCCATCTTAGCTTTATTTAAGTTCCTCTGCAATTTATTTATTTTTTAATTTATCTTATAAGTGATAAGTTCTTGTCACATTAATTTAAAATATCAGAATATAATATTTTGTATTAATCAACATCATTAGTGATTACAGTCGACTCTTTAATATTGTCTTCTGGTTTCCACTTGTTCAGCTTCGAGAAGAAAAAAAGGAAACTCTAGCACTGATGACTTTAGGGTTTAATGCCTTTAAGTCCTGACTATCAACAACTTTACTTTTTTATTATCCATTTATGTATACGAATAAATGATTATAATAAGAGTAATATATTATTAATGAATCACTTTATGAGAAAAATGTTTATCATTTAACATATGTTCTTCTTTTTCACCAAAATTAATTAGGGACCATTGGCTATTCAGTCTTATTATTTACTATGTACGTAAATATTGTAATTTTAAATATTCCTTTTAGTACTATTACTAAGTACTATTTTATCAAGGGATATTTGAATTTAAAAGGATTGAATACTTTAATGTAATTTATTTAGTTATTAGGTTACTAAAACTTTTGATAATTAAAAATAATATTTATACCTTAATTGTTATCACTTTAGTAAGAACAAGGTGTCCCACTGGTTACAGAAAATAGTCTAAATCTATGATATTTGTTTCTAAGATAACAGCATGTATTAATATTTACTTAATTACGAAATTATTCAGTTGTTACGAGGTTATGATTCCTTAAAAACATTTGTAAATTAAAGGAAACGTACACACCCAAAATCTCATAAAAAAAAAAAGTGAATATTTACAAATTTTTATTTTTTCTTAAAATAAAGCCATTACATAAAATATCGTTTTTTTGAACTTGGTTTGGTTACTAAAACATTTGCAGGTCCATGTTAGGGTAAATATTGTTATTAGCATAATATTTAATATTTATTCATAATTAAGAAAAACCTATGTTCAGTTATCAAAAGTCTACTGAACTTTCATTGCTAAGATTTTTTTTTTTTACTTTATGTTTGTATTCTTTAGAAACTTTTGGTTTCAATATTATGGTATATTCTATTACTGATTGTATTTATTTTAAAATACATGCATCTTAAAATAAAATTTAGTAGAAAATAATATGTACTACTTAAAAATTATTTCAATGGTAATGTTGTAGGAATTTTTTTTTCTTTTGATGACATGAAAAGTTTTTGTTTAAATTGTATGCAGTGACATTTCATTACGAGGTTTTAGAGAATTCCGAATTGTATCAATATTCATATATCAGCTGCCTGACTGATATTGTAATTTCTAAGGTTCTTTGTTTATAATAAATGTTATATCGTATTAAAACTCTTCTCTCTCATTTTTTGCAGCTCTTGACAAACTATCTTTTTATATATATTTTGTTCTTAAAACGTATATTTGAATTTTTATAATTAAACAAATTTAAAATTTATATTAAATTAGTTATAATGCCTGTTTGGATTAATTCACAAATCTATTTTCTTCTTTTCTTTTATTGTAAGTGTAGGATTCTTGCATGAAAATACTAACAATTTGGATGCTAAAAGTATATTTCAGATAACCTTTCTTCTTACAAAATGCTATTTTGTATTTGGTATATTTTCATATATTGCTGAAATTGTTTTTTTTTTTTTATCAGTTGAAGTGTCATCTTCTGATCATTTGTTGCTGCTTGCAACTTAATGTTTTGATTAATTATCATATATTAATGATTTTTTTTTTTATTTATTAAAGAAGATAGGACCATTTGATTGGTTACACAGTTATGAGTGTGAGCTTGATAGGTTTAATTAGTATTATTTTGTTATGGCGGACAGATGAAGGAAAACGGCCTATATTCGAAAGGAAGGAATTATTGGAGTGGTCTACTCAGGGGAAGTCAGAAGAAAAACCGAAGGAAACTACTTCATTAAAAATACAGAAAGATAAAAAGAAAGCCAGAAGTGAAACTCCTAGCTCTGACGAGAGAATTAGGAAAAAAGAGAAAACTTCACCTAGGAAACGGAATACTTCTCCAGTTTCCTCTCATATCAAAATTAGGTTTGTTATTTTCGAGATTTGTATTCGGTGTATTCCTTTTTTTTTTTTTTTTTTAATTTGTTTCATGTCTTCCTATTTTAGTTAAATGAGTATTAAAAGAGAGAAGAAAAGAAGTTTTCATCTAAATTATTTATGTTATATCTTTATTTACTGCTTTAAGCATAAAGTTGTTTAAAACTTTTTCTCTATTTCTGCTTGATTTTTTTTTTTTTTTCAGTTTCACAGTTTTTAGTAAGATTTTCTTACTGTTCTTAGGTTATAAAAAATAAATTATATGTGTTACATTTATGTCAAACTCTTTCTATAAATATGATTGAAAAAAATATTTATACACACTCACTTCATATTGAATTCACTAATATTAGTGAAATTGATCAAGCCTTAAAAAGTTGAAAAGATGGGAAACCATTTTATTTTATTTGTATTTGAGGATATTTGAAATTCATAACATTGTGTGTTGTTGTTGTTTTTTCTGTTTGATGTTTTCAGAAAAGAAATATGAAGAAATTTGACAACATTTTGTATTATATTTAATTAACAGTGTTATTTATTATTTATAAAGTGATTAAAAAGAAAAGAAAGTGTCTATATTCTGCAGCTGTGAAAGTGGATATTAATTTTCATAAATTCAAAATGAGTTTTCATTTTTGATTATTTTTTTGGTTTTATATGACAAGCTTGGTAGTAATATCTTTTATATAAAATTCTAATGCTCCTATAAATATAAAGTTGTAGTTTATACTTTTTAAAATACAATTTAATCAGAAACTATGGTTCTAGACTTTGGTATATTTCTATACTAAAGATAAAAAGCCTTTCCGAGCAATATAAGTTCCACATAATTCTGAAAGATGTGCAAGAAAATATTTAGCAATCAAAAAAGAAAAAAAAATTAATTTTATCAAAAGGATCTCCAATTTATCACATAAATAAATAATTTGTGTTTGTGTGTGGTTTACTTGTTACATGGATTTTTTTAATTGATAATGATTCTGTGTGTTAATAGAGATTTTTTTATTTTGCATTCATTAAACAATATTGATAGGGATTCCTTTTTACTGTTATATGATTATGATTTCCGTTGATTATACTAAAACAACTAGATCAGGTATTAAAAAATATTTTTTCACAAATTTTAATCCGTTTGCCATAGTTTTGATTTGTTTCATTGTATGTGTCCATTAATTTTTAAAATTAGAAAGTTTTACATGATGCCTAGGAACATACATACATATATGGGTCTTGGTCTCCTCCTAAAGTCTCCGCCAGTTGGCTCTATCTGTTGCTGCAGCTCTCCAGTTCCTAACGCCGAGGAGATTGTGTGCCTCCACTGTGACGGAGTCAGCCTACCTCACATTTGGCCTAACCACTCTTCGCTTGCCATGAAGCTCTTCAGCCAATGTCCTCTTAGGGATCTCGTCCTCCTTCGTCCTTGCCACGTGGCCCAACCATCGGAGTCTCCCAATCTTGATCCACTTGATGATATCAGAATCTCTATACAGTCACAGTCTTGAGAGTTCCTGATTCTTCCTCCTTATCCAGGTGTCTCCTGGAATTTTGGTTTCTTGTTCTAGAGCCAGAAATGCTTCTTTTAGGGCACACTCAGATCTGGCAGCTGTGTCGAAGTCATCTGCATACCCCAGTAACTGGACCGTACTGTTGAATAAGGTGGCCCGTGTTTGGATCCTTGATCTGCGTACTGCTCGCTCCACCACAAAATTAAAGATAAGGCATATAAGGGTATCTCCCTGTCTCACGCCGATGCTTCTGGCAATAGGTTGAGAGAGGTCTGATCCGATATGAACTTGCGTGATGCCTAGGAACAATTTTATTTAACATTTTTATGACACTTCAGTACGAGGACAGCATCCTTGGGATTATTTAGTGCCTTGTTACATCTGGCTTGGTCATTTGTAAAAAAACATGCATTAGCTGACTACTAATTTCTTCATCAAATTTGAATCATTAATCCACCTCTACTTGTTGATATATACTGGTAGATGATAAAGATTTTTAAGGCAAGGTCTTAAAACAATATCAATTGCCTTAGTTTTGCTGGATTCAGGCTCAACTTATTTTCCAAAGCCATGGAGTTTTAATACCATTAATTTCTTCCTCGAGCTTACGAGATGCATCAAGCGTGTCAGGAGGGTGAAAGGAAATGTATATTTGTAGGTCGTCTGCATACCTCCATATTTAGCAGCAATATAGTTAGAAAGTAATTACTGTTCTAAACCATGGAATGGCCGTCAGTTATTCCATACCCAGAGATATGTCTTCTTTTTTCTTGATAATTATTTATAGAAGATCTCTAGGCAATTGCCTTTTTAATCTTTGTTGAGGCTCACTAGGTATCAGTGAAGAAGACAGAGAGAAAAATTGGATTTAGACGATTAGTAGTTAATAGAAGAGCGGAATGTTGTGTATTTGTTATATGTATGTAGGATTTTATTGTTGGTATTTTCATGTTGCTGTGTATGGTATGATTTGAAATAAACCAAAATACATTTTTTTCGGAAAATTTTAAACTGTGCATTTTGAAATTTCATTATGTCGGCGTGTTTTGCCAAATCCTGAAATTCTACTCCATATGTCCAGATAGGTCTTAGTATAGTAGTATTGATTAGTCGCTTGTTTTGTAAGTTGAGTGAAAATATGTCGTCCAAGAGATGTGTCAGTTGTTTGTATTGTCTGGTCAGAGCTTATTTTATTTTATTTTTAAATTGATATGTATGTTCCAGTTGGTAATATATTTAGTGTATATAATACATAGAGTAGAGATCATGTATGTGTTGGTGTTGTAAGTCGTTATGTAAAGTTTTGTTGTTTACGTACCAGAGAGCTCCTGCTATAAGTCATAAAATTTTGGATTGAAATGTCTGTCATTTTTTAAGTGCATCTTTTTTCAGAATCGTAAATTTTTGAGGCGTATGTCCATATGGTGGGTTTGACTAGGTAAGTGTATGTATTTAGTTTTTTCTGATTTTCAATTTTGATTTAGAAAAAAGTGAGTATAGTATAGTATAGTATAGTAGTAGTATAGTTTCAGTTGCTTGTTCAAAGGCTGTCGTTTCATTTTCATAGGTGGACTAACTTTTAACAATAATAACTCATAATGATTATAATTGGATTTTTATTATTAATACAACAAGAACCAATACAGGAGGCTCTGGGAGTTAGATTCATTTAAATTAAGAGGCTATGATTGTCGAACCAATGGGGAAGATAGATCACCTAGCTGGCTGCTTTTGCTAAAACAGAAGTCAGGAGGTTAAAGATTAGACTTTGTTTGAGGTGGGTTAATGGCTTAACATGGGTGATAAATATCCAGGATGCAGTCTTTTTAAATTTTTTTTATTTTTGCCAATGTTTCAACCCAAACATGTGGATCCTCTTCAGGGCGTGGTTTGAGCACTGAGGGTGTTCAAGTACTGCTTGGGTTGAAATGTTGGCAAAAATAAAAATTTTAAAAAAAGACTGCGTCCTGAGTATTTATCACCCATGGTATGTAGAACAGTCGACCAACTTCCTTCAAGAGTTAATGACTTGACTTTGATGAAGAAATTAGGAATCAGCTAATGTAAGTTTTTAACAGAGGACCAAGCCATAAATATTTATTTATATTTTATTGTGGGTATTTTTATTTATATAAGTACCCTTATTTATAAAAATGTTAATATTTATTATCTCTGTAATCTATACAATTAAATATTAAATAATATCAACAATAGCATTTAAGAAAACCGTAAATGTATATTTTCAATATTAATAATTTAATATTCAACAAAATAATATTATCGGAGTCCGTATTATATTAAGCTCATATTACGTAAGGAAGCCTGTTCTAATCTTTCGGGCAAACTAGGGCTCGCTCGTATTGCTCTAGTTCCTCAATTACAATTATTCTCCGTTACGATCTATTATTTCTCCTTTAGTTAATTATAAAATTCTTTCATATCTAGTATTTAACTATCTTTTATATTGGAGATCAATTTGAAGTGGTCAATTGTTTCAAATAAAAAAAATTACAGATAATTTAGAGGAAGCTAATATTGAAAATTAGCCATTTAAGCTCTGTTAGAGAACATCAATCAGAATAAAACCTATGTTTTATTTAAAACTGCTTAATTTTACACTGATATTATGAATTTAATCAAAATCGTTAGAACGTTTTTCGAGGAAATCGTAAAAATGTGTTAATTCCATGATATAAAGTTGCCACTTCCGGTTACCCGATTTTAACGGAAAAGTTGTTGTAACAACCCTAGCATATAAAAACCTTTTGCGAGATTTGGTTTTTTAGACTCAGGAGACCTCAAAACATGTATTTCCATTGAACACTGAGATTCAAAAATTTTCACGATTGCAATACTTTTCTTTACTATGTATTACATATGATAGGTGAGTGAAAGTAAGCAATGAAAAATAAAAACTTTTTAAATAAAACAAAAAACCAGATTTAGTAATTTTAAATTAATAAACATTGTTTGTACAAATTAGTTTTATAAAAAACATTAGTGAAAATTATATACAGTAAAAGGGTAAATAAAATAAACAAGATTTAATTAGAACTTATTTAATATAAAACATGTTATTTTTTAACTTGCCATTTTCAGCAGCAGTGAGGTATATCAACTGTTACTGTCACCGATATAACTCTCTTTGTTTTATTACATTTTTGTAGTATATTGTATAATAAGTATGTATAATACTAAGTTATAATTAAGGATGTGTCAATATAATATGTGCACCTTCTGATGACACATTCCTGGTCTTCTATCCTCTTTCCAGCTCTTTCTCCATACTGCTCCTCTGACTCCTCCATTTCTGATAGGCACTTTCTCCCCAGGGTGAAGTGTGTAAGACCCGCCACTTCCTTCCATCTCCTCACGTACTCCATGAAATGGGGGTAGTTATCCTCCTCTATCAGTCCTGGGAAATCTCTAAGATTCTATAATCCAATTTTATGTGCAGCCAGACCCAGTTGGTCCATATCTACATATGTCAGCATGACATATTCTGCTGTGTCAGGAACCCTACATGTGTGGCACTGGGGGAGAGAGAGGAGGAGGGTCGATATTCTTTCCATCCTTATTCGATTTATCTCTAAACCTTCCATGCCCCACAATCATTGAAGAGCACCATTAGTCAGGTTTGACCCAGTTCGCCAACGGTATTTAATAGACTGTAGGAAAGAACTTCACCAGGATCAAGCCCTTCTCCATTGTCGTCTTATTCTACTCTTCAAATCCTCCCTTAACATAGTCCTCTATTTCTTTTGGCTTTCTTCTGCCCTCTGTCATAGCCCTTGTCTCTTGACATCGAACTTAGTGGCATCTTCCCTCATTAACAAGTCCAGGGGCATTTCCCCAGCTATTATCTGGACTGCTTTATGGGAGACCATCCTGTATGCTTTTGTAATCCTAATTAGTTTCAATCTCTTAATGGTTGCCATTTTTTCAAAGGGGAAGCCTTTGTAAATGACTCATGTCACCGTGTATTTAATTCCCCAAATACACTCTCTATCCTCAACAGTCCGTTCAATGAGTGAGTCACTCTATCTCTAAGGTATGAGATGTGCGGGGTAGCATCAAATCCTCTCCTGAACCTGACTCCCAGGTTCAGGTTAATACCTTCTCCACCTCTGACTATCTTCAGCTATTGCCTTCTATGCTTTCCTGCTGTACAGCATCTTTATTTATTCTATCTATCTGGTTTTTGGGCTTCCACATGGTCTCTTCTCAACTATTCGGCATTCAATATTTTGTAGAGGCTGCTTGATGGATTGCTCAGAGCTACATGTCCCATCCATCTTAACCTCCTTTCCTTTATGACATGAGATATTGATTGACCAGTGTCAGTAACCAGTTCTTTATTGGCCCATCTCCTCCATTTGTACTAATATCCTTATTTTGCTATTGTTTTCATAATTGAGTTTGGGTTGATTTCGATCTAAGGACTAAGTAATGTTCCTTATCATTTTTATGTTAAGTTTTTTCCTTTTTTTACAATTAGGATCCTTTTCGTTAGTGGACAAATAAATAAGCCATGCAATTTTTTATTTTGATATTGTTCGTGTACAACATACTAAGGTTGTTACTCCCTTCTATTAGATTAGTTAGCCATCCAAACTCAGCATTTCTTGTGGAGGAACCACAGAGCAGAATTTTCCTTTATTTTATTGAAAATTTTAATTTATATAAGGAGAAAAGTAATGAAAAAAAATTAATTAAAATTAGCGATAATTTTGGAGTTAACTGATTAGACGGCCTTTGGGAGCGAGGTAGCTCAGTGGGTAGAAACTGACTTCCAAAGCTCAAGGTCCCGAGTTTGAGCCTGGGGTTGGGAGACCCTCCTGGTGCACACCCAGCCTCTAAAGTATGTACTCTTAATTAATTAAAGGGAAAAACCTGGTGACTGGTCATGATCTCTCTCAAATTATCTCCTTGAACAATCGTTTTCCAATAATACTAAGCTTGTACTAATGCAGATTTTTTATTCCACATAATTAACAAAGACGTAATGGTTTTTTATTATGAATAATGTATTTATGCTTTTTATCTTAGGGAGCATAATCTTAACTCACTTTTGCTTATAAATTCTAAATTTTTTATCGAGTTCAGCTATGATGGAAAGTTTATATTTTGTCCTATTAACTATTATGGATTCTTACTTTATGCACACTTAACCTATCGAGTGGGTACCTCGCCTTTCTGTGTGATGGAAGAACAACACTTCTTGGCTGTTGTGTGGGATGCTGATTATATCACATAGCCTCGTATAATTAGTTATAAAAACATAACTGTTTTATATGGATTACCTCACTCAGTTTCTTTCATGTGTTACAAGTTTATAGGGAATGTAAATCTTTAATTTAATTTTTTTCTTATTTTAATGGCCTCTATTCCTTCTGCATGATCAAAATAATGTACGATATTCCTTATAAGCAGCTATGTGATTTAGGTATTTCAACCAATGATAACTCACTTGCGTCGGATTCATGTTTTAAAGAAGTGGTTTTCCTATCTGAGTAGACTATAAAAATGATAGTATTGTATGATGATATGAGTGTGTATCAATATTAAAACTAGATCAGGGAATCCCAAACTTGAGGCATTCAGAGCCATTGTTTTCACAACCCACTTATACTGAAGATCGTAACAACAAAAAGAAGAAAGACATAATATATTTAAATTTAGACGTTGCTCGTGTATTCATTATCGTTAGTATTTATTTTAAATTATGATATTGAAGCACTATACAACTGTATAGGAATATTTAGATTTTAAACATTTGTCATATGCTTGATAATTTGATATTAAGATAGTTTGACTGTTATTATTTGTTTTTCACATTCATGCAAAATTCATTATGAATTTTTGCATGAATGAATAAATAAAGCACTGATCTGATGTGTGATGTCTTAAACTTGAGGAAACCCTGGACTAGTTGTTTTAAAATTAAGTTGTCTGTGAACAACAATTTTCTTGTTTATTAATTTATAGTTTTGACCTTTCTTCATTTGTTATTTTGTCTAACTTGTTTTCCAGATGTTTAGTTACTTAATTTATAATGTTTTCTTTATTTGGAAGTTTCATGAATACTCTTGTTCTCCTCTTTAGCATATAATTTGTCTCAGTATTGGGTTCTTACTCTAAAAACTTTGATCAATGATCAAACAATCTGATTGTTCGATCTTTGACCACAAACTGAGGCAAATTATATGGTAATGAGAGGTACAGGGTATACCTGAAACGTCCAAAGAAAGAAAAAACTATAAATTAAGAGTGTTTATTTTGTTACACTAGACCTATGGGCAGCTAGTAAAAAGAAATAATTTTGTGCTTTACATATTTACTATTGTTAGATCCTTCCCTTCTTTTTTTTTGTGTCCCCTTTGTCGTTTTATAAAATTTGTCTATTACTTTTTATAGTTGAACATGTTCATGATCAACATTTATTTTGATCTACAATTGGTTATAGATATTCATTATAGACTGATGATATTCCACCAATTTTTGGTGATGATAGGTGTTTCCCCTGGTTTAACTTTAAAAGGTAATAAACAAATTTTATTTAACGACAAAGAGGGACAATAACAAAAAAGGAATCTATCAATAGTTAATATGTTTCTAATGATAAGAAAGCATTACCTGGAATGTGTGATAAATAAAAAAAATATACAAGTAAAAAAAAAAATTATAGCTGCCAACTTTACTTATATAACAAAAAACTTCCCAATGAAAGAAATTATGTGAAAAAAATCGAACATGTTTTTTATCTTTATACAGATATTTTTTATATATTTTTTTTTTTGAGTAATATTTGCAAAAATAAATTTAATTTTTATATAAGTTCTACTGGAGGAGAACATTCCAAGAGCAAAATAAAAGAGGAAAGAGAGAGTTCAAAAGATACCAATGATCGTTACTCTGGGCACCACAGTGCATCAGAGAGTTCCAGACAGAAAGACGATCATGACTACAAACAAAAATCAGAACGACGCTATGTTGAAAAGTATGAGAGAGATAGGAATCCTTCGCCTGACAGGTTAATAGTAATGACAATATTTTGCTTTTATTTGCATTTTTAGCAGACATTTTAAGTTAATTTAATGATTCACAGAAGCAGAAGGAGGTCTAGGAGTAGAGATCGGTACAGGAGCAGATCCGGTTCCTACAATCGTAGGCATCGGAGAAGTAGATCATATCGCTCCCGTTCGAATTCTCGTTCTCGCTCGTACTCAAGGTCTCGTTCATATTCTCATGATAGAAGGTCCAGGTCTCGATCACATGGACGTCGACGATCGCGCTCACGGGAAAGGAGGGGTCGTTCCAGATCAAAGCAAAGAGGTGAGATTTTTTTTAGAATAAATCTAGTGTTGAATGTTTCTATATCAATTAATAAAATTGAGCTCTTAGGCAGTTTGCCGGTAAAGTACAATGGTGATATTTGACCTTCAGTTGAAATTAAAATAAGATGTTGTAAAAAGTTGCTCCTCTGATTATTAATCTTGTAAGTAACTGCATCTTAAACAGCAGCAGATTCTGATTCCTTATATTTTCTCTCTCTTCACAGGCAATATTAAGATCTGTACAACTTAATAAAGTCCTCTATAAATTGAGTACAATTCCATTTTGATATGTCTTGTATTATATTATTTCAAAATCAAAAAAAAAAAATTAACTGAATCCAAAAAATAAATAAAAACGAAATTATCATTTAAGAAGTTAGAATTCAAAGCAAAACCCTCTTCCAATGCTTGTCCTTCTTCAAATAAATTGCTACATATGCAGGTGTCGTTCGAGTAATGCAGGCATACAGTTGAATCTTAAATCTACTTTAACATTTCTTATACATATATATATATATATATATATATATATATATATATATATATATATATATATATATATATATATGTATGTATGTGTGTATTTGAAAAATATCTTGTTGTATTATACTTAATTGTCTAAACATTTATTATTAAAATTATAAAAAAAAATTTTATAACCAAATATAATTAGTTGTATGTTGAATCTATGTATATTCTCAAACTGTTATAATAACTGTTACTTTTTAAAATTTTTTTTTTCAGTTAGGACATTTATTGAAGAAAGGGAATATCTTAAAATGATAAGAAGAAAAATGAAGGAGAGAGACGATAAAAGGTTGAAAGAAGAGAGCATGCGATTGCAAGAGAAAAAGGAAAAACCCGAAGAAAAGGAAAATCCTAAAAAAGAAATTGCAAAGGTAACTTTATTTAATAATACGATTTTGTAAGTTTTTCAGTGTTGAGAAAATATGTATATTTGTAAATTAATTAAAAGGTGAAGCAAAATCTTTATTCCTTTATTTCAATTTGTTAATGTCATATTTATTTACGATTCCGAATATTTTTTTGTAGTGCACTGACAGGAGTTTGGTGACGTCGACGCCGAGGGTGAGGCAACCAAGAAATAGACAACCGATGTTCCGGCCTCCTCCTATGATGCCATACCCCATGCCGTACCCACCTGTTCATCCCATGTTTAGGCCACCACCTTTCAGGCCTTATCCACCGCCATACCCTCCTCAAAGTAAGTATCTTTAGGAACAAATACAGTAATTATGAAGGACAAATAAATTATAATTCGTTTACAATGATCATCAAGTGACTTAGGAAATCAGGTCGCTACATTTGGCCTCTAAATATTTGTAGTTCTATCGACAGTCCCTGAAGAATTTAAGGAAGGAAGGACAGACAGTTCCTTTATGATTGTAAGAAAGCTGTTAAAAAGTTTTTAGTATATTCTTGATAAGGTTTTTTGTAACGAATTGTGTAGTGGTAAGGGTGTTGGAAATTCTCCCAGAGTAAATCGCTTTAATGTTACAATCAAAGAATTTCTTTAATATTTCAACTATATAACTCAGCCAAACTGAAACTCTTATAATGGATATCTATATCTTTCTTCTCTCTGATGCCTTCATAGTATAGTTGATGTTGGAAAAACATGTTAATTCCTACAAAAAATCTAATATCAAAACAGAAGAATATTTCTTGTCTTCGACGCTAGTAATGGCATGAAGATGAAGACAAAGAAGAAGAATATTTCTTGAGTGGAAGTTTTGAAGCTAGAAACGCTGTTCTAAGCTAAAACGCATGAATAGATAAGACAGATAGATACAAAATTCTGGGACAAAGTCTCTTAAGAATAATATCGTACAAAAATAAAGATTACTTTTGACCTAAGGTATAAGAAATAATAAGGAAGTGTGTGTCAGGTGATGGTACAACTGAACATTGATTTAGTGCAGATCTGCTCAGTATAGTGTTATCACGTGGTTTCTAGTAGCCAAAGCGGAACTTCCCGATGACTTGGCTCTCGGTAGAGATCCGCTTCTCGGCTCCTCGAATCACCGCGGCTGTTTCCAAATTGGAGTACTCTCCCTCTGTAATTTCGTCACTTCCATTACTCGGCACTACAAGTCACCGTAGTCTGCCTTAGAGTGCTACCAATGGGTAGTTTCTCAACATGTGTTTCTTGTCATTATATCCATGTGCGAATTTACCAGATGTATTTTTTGTATACAGTTGTAAATATCATTTAAATAAATAAAGAAATAATAAAAAAGTAAAGAAAACATTAAGTGAACATGCTGTATACAAAACACAACTGCGTTCATATCGCTTAAAACTATATACAGTGGTAAAAAAGTATAAATATACACTTCTCTAAGGATAAAAGAAAGAAAAAATAAATTAAATTCTTATCAATAATCTTCGAGTTTCCAGTAAGCAAAAAAGAAAGCTGGTTGGGTCTGTCCATATAAAATGTTGAAGTATGTAAATGCTAAAAAATATGTAAATACATCTAAATAATATACAAATACATGTGAAGAGCCTGATCATTTCTTAACGTAACTGTGCGTAATAATTTAATTGTATATAAAAAAAAAAGTTGGATGATGTAATAAAATGTACTATTTTATAATATAGTATTTTTTGACCGCGCTCCCGACTAACTTCTTCTGAAATTAGAATCCATGGTCAACTATCTCCATATCATAAAAAAATAATAATTGTACTAAAATACAATAGATGCATTGAGTGGCATAGAAAGTCGAAAATTCTTGTCATGTCCATAGCAAAGAACTTATTATATATGGTATAAATTAAGACTTGTAGCATTAATACTTATTACCGTTCAATGTGACAGATTGAAAAATTTATTATTCAATAAATGAAAAGTATAAGAGTAAGATATACAACCGTTTGAGGTATGAGCTATCACCTAACCAGTTTTTCTTTAATGCTAATTATCTTTGCAAATATACATTAAAAAAAAAAAAACGGGACTTTTTGAATTTCTATTGTTAAAATCTAATTTTTGATGACGTAATAATTGAAAATTCATACAAGTTCCTCATTTCTATAATCGGTATAAGCAGGGTGAAAAAAAAAATGAAAAAATTCCCTTTTTATGAAAATTCTGAGGTTGTGAGGGAAAAAAAATGGAAACAAATTTTATCAATCAAAGCCTAATAATCTGAGTACAATTTAATAAATTTTTTAAATAATATGAGTAAAACTAGTATCTATATATAGTGTTACATATTATTTTGTATATATTTGGACGTAAGGCATTTTTAAATTACTTCAGAAGGCAAAAATGAACAATCTGGCTGACGAAAAGGGGAATTTTAAAAATATATGATGGAAACGTTGGGTATAAGGTTCTCAATTATTAAATTTCACACATTTTTGGGGCATTGCTCCCTCCATGGCAACGCCCCTGTATAAGTATCTGAGACATTCTGGCCCACGTACTTTACTTAAACACTTCCTTACACCTAAATTCACCAAGTTTATTAGTTACATTTAAAATACTTTTTTTCTATTTGTTCTCAATTTTTTTCATTTACTAAGTATTATTATTAATATTATCTCGGTGCAACAACCTGTTGTCGGATCCAGGGTTCTACCAAGAACTTCTACCAATCGTCAAGGTTTCGTGTTGCCGCCATCCAGTTGCGCACTCTAAGGATGTTCCAAACGTCAGCTGCAACTTCGTCTATCCATCTATGCTTCTTCCCATTCCATAGAGAGACTCCATTAAAAGCTTCCTGGGCAACTCTTCTTCACTCATGTGTGGCATAAACCCCACCCACTACATCTGGCCCAGTTTAACCGTCTGAACAACATTTGGTAGTTTAAATAGACCATAAACATAGTTTAGTTTGGCGGGAGAGAATGTGGCCGCCAAGCTGTTTTCTCAGGTTGTAGTAGCACTGATTAGCATAAATTATTTTCCTACTTATTTCCATTTCTGTCCTGTTTCACCATAGAACCTAGATAAATACATTTAATGACTTGCTCATATTGGTAGTCCCCAATGTCACCATCACATTGCGCCCAAGTATCTCTTCAGTCAGTGTTTATTTACGCGTTGGAAAGTGACGATTCTATCACTCAACCTAGTGCTGCAGTCAGCCACTGGCCCCCCAGGTTGGGAGAACAGTACATTCACATACATACACTAAAACAGCCCACTACTCTCTACAGACAAAGGTCATTAACAGTACACACCCTAAGATCACCTCCCTAGGAAGCCGCCCGGAAGGGATGTAGGTCTGTATGCACAAAGGTGACACTCCCACTAGCAGACTAGGGTACATAGTGAGGGTCGATAGCCCCGCAACCAGAAACTGAATTATCTCGAAACCCAACACGAAAGCCTTGTAAATAAATATTTTCTGCTTTATACTTATTGTTATATATTATTTGTATTGTTATGTATTAGACTTTATTCATAATTTTAGATTCAACCCCTAATTTTTATTTGTTAATGTATTTTTTTTTTTCAGGGTTCTTTCAGCCTTATTGATAAACATAAAGAATTCTGTCTATTTTCAAAACTGAAGATTGTATTATATTTTTATTTAAAAATGGATGTGGAATTATTTTTTTTTTTAATTTTGTGAACTAATGTATCAAAAAATATACATAAACCTTATTTATAATCATTTTATATGGTTTATATTGTAAATTTTGTAAAAGTTATATAAGTAGATTTCATTTCCTAGTAAGTATTACATTGACACTATATTAATTAGTTGTAAGTGATTTCTGTGTAGTTGTAGGATGGGTATTATTAATATAGACTTATCTTCATTTCTAAAGAAATATACTCTATTAATTATTTTCAATGCTTGTGCAATTTTCAATCATTCTTTTCCTACACAGTTTTTTTTTTTTTTAAATATATTAAGGCTGGTGTAGTTAATCAAGATCTTTTGTGTTTTAACATGAAGATCTTAAGCATCAATCCCATTATTGGAAGTACTTCTTCTGAAGAGTTGATCTGTCTGTGGCCTCCTGACATCTCTTTGCTTCTCATTCGGGCCAAATAGTCAACACAAAGCTTATCTTCATATGGATAGGGCTTAAGTAGCATCGGGCTTTCAATATATATTCATCATCTTGGTTTCTTTATTGATTGCTTAGTTTCTTTCCTCCTGTAATTCCTGACAATTTTGTTTCATCCTTATAATTGACCAATCAACTACTACCCCATCTCTACTTATTTAAGGTTTGTGTATGTCTGGAATTGTTATAGCAACTTTTTCGTACTTTTTTGTATATATATTTTTTTTTTTTTCATTCAATCAAGTCATTCAAATATTCTTGATAGTTTTTTTTTTTTGTCTCGATAAACTCAGTTAAAAGTTTAAGATCAGGTCCAGTGGTTTAAGTGAACAGTTTTTAAATAATTTTTGAATAAACTTATTTTAAAACTATTCATTTTAACTAAAAAAAGTTAATTTTATTCTTATTCTTGTTATAAATACCTAAAGAACTCCAACTAAGTTTTCAATGTATTATCCACAATGACATTGATATTATCTGTGACAATAAATCATTTTTATATATATTTTCAATGGGTTGTAATTCAAGAATTATTATCATAAAGTACTAAATCATAATTGATTGTTTTCTTGCTTTGCTATTCCAAACGCCATATAACACATATATTACAGCCGCTGAAAAAAGAAAAAAAAATATTTAACCTTTATAAAGTTAATAATTTTTAGATTAATGGAATAGATAATAATACGATAAAATTTAATGTTTTGTTTTGCTAATATTTAAACCTTCACGACGTTGTAGAATAATAGATAAACAATTCTCCAGAAAAGTTTATTATGATTTAATTTGAATAAGAAAACAACCCTGATATCCAATTCAAATTTTCTTCAACATTTAATGTAAAGAACGGTCAAAGTATAACAGAACCTCTAAACATAGCTGCTATTAAAGAAAGACCAATCATTTAGAATAAGAACATGGTTTAGAAAAAACTCTGTATACATGTTTATTATTGGCCACCTTACGACTATTTAAAGTTAATCAGATGTTCTCTTAAGAGAGAGGTGTTCATCAGCACTTGATGGATTTGGACAATGTTGAAAAATTAGCAATTGCTTCAAGTTCAGCTTTAAAGTTGAGATAAATTTAAACCAAGTTTGCGCATCACACTTTGAGGACTCGTAGTCGCGTATGAAAGTATGTTTAGAACAAGTTATCAGTTGCAGGTCCTTTAACAAACACTAAAATAAAGGCAGCTTGTTGCATTAGATACAACTTTAAAAGCTGACAATAACATGTATATTTTGAAATCATTAAATATTACCGGAAAATAAATTATTTAAGAACAACATAGGTTGCATCTATGCACTATTTGTTTTTGATTTGTTAAATTTGTATTAATTACAAAATATTTTTTCCTAATTAAAAAAGATTATTTTTATTTTTAAGTACATGTTTAATTTTGAAATATAGATCGATCATATCTTAAAAATAAAACAAGCGAAGGAAAAAAATTATTTATTTTTAACTTGAGAAAGCTCTGTGACAAAATAGTTAATACTTTTACTAAAATGAAATATATTCGTTAATTAAACAGAAAAGAAGCATAGATAAAAATATAATATTTTCCAATTCATCTAGGAAAAAGTGGTAAAAATTTAATCTAACAATTTGTTTTGTCTTTGGTAATAAATTTTAATGCAGAGTTTTAATAAAATTGTGGAAGAGCATTTTTTGTATAAATAAATTTGTTTTGATTTTTCATGTAAAAATGTTTCAAAACAATAACAAAAATTTTTTTTATCATTATATTTTTCTTTAACCTTTATCTTCCTGTCTTTGATTGAGTTATTGTTTGTATATAGTTAATAATTATTTTCTATTTTTTTGCTGGGAATTTTTAATCTCTGGACTACTGTGTTGAATTTATTAACAATGATTGTTTAATGCACTAAACATTTGATAATATAACTAAATGTTGGTAAATATTAGTTTGTACTCTCTTACCCACTATTACCCAAATAATACCAAACATCCAGGTGTAAATGTCATACTCCAAGCTTAGGTAACTGTTGATAAGAATAACTGTTACAGGAATCAAAGGCGATGATGTCCTCTGAAAATTGAATACACCATATTTATAGATTTAATTAAATTTCAATCAACTTAAACTATATATAAGTTGGTTGTTCCATGCCAATAATTCGCATAGTATATCATTCAGTGACCCAAAAATGGGTATGGAAATGAATAAATCCAATGGATTATGAGAGGGTTTTGCGCACTTTTCTTCATAATTTTTCTCACCTGAATGAGAAGGTAATCTTCAAAATGATGGTTTGATAATTGGATTTGATGAATTAACAAAGAAATGGCAGAGTTTTCCCGAAAAATATAAACTGAGAATAAGATTTTTAAAAAATTATATCATTTGGCCCCCTTAGGATCTCGGAACTATTCTTCATCTACAATTTCAATATATTTTTACTTTGTCATAAACTAAAATAAATAGCAATATTTTAGTTTAAAAAGAAAAAACTAAACAAGATGTAACAAGGATCCCATAACACCCATAAGCCTTTAGTATGGTTTAATTAAAAAACAGTACATTCTTGGGCTTTCGAAGTATGGTGTCAGTGCTGGATTTAGGTAGGGCAATTAACCTGATCCTCGCCACTTTTTAGAAATAAAAAAGTATTGAAATAAATAACATTAACCTACTAATCTAGCAACTGTATTAGAGAAATATTGAATCAAATACTATGTATTATTAAAAAAGTTTAAGAAATAAATTTAAATTTTTTTTATAAAATATTAGACCAAAGGTCACCATTTGGTAATGTACATAGTTTTTACATCATGTATTATTTATTCAACGTTTCGGCTTCAGGAACCATTTTCAAGATCCTGCAAACTGATTTTAATTCAGTTGTTATACTTCAAACTACATCATTATAAAACATATTTTAATTCAATAACAATCAGTTATAAAAATAGTTCAAATTCTATTTTATAATTTTTTTTTTTATATGACAGCATTTTGGTTAAAATTAATGTAAAATTTTTCATCTATTTACCATGCACCATAAAATTTCCTAAAATGTATCATTATAATATAATTCGAAACGTCCAATAAATAATACATTATGTAAAAACTGTGTACATTTGGTGACCTTTGGCCTAATGTTTTATAAAAAACTTTTTAAAAAATGGCAGCGAACCTAAAAGATATGACTAGAAATAAATTTAATTTTTTTAGAGGGGGGGAGATGATGCTTTACTCAGGGGCGCAAAATATCAGGCTGACACTGTATAGAATAGTAAATGTAGTAATGAATGATTATTAACTATTTAGGTGATTAATAAACTAAGAACGAGTGGTATCTTCTTGCAGAGTAATCTTATGAGAAAGCCAACATTTTTATTTAATTAGTTTAATTACCATATCATTGTTATTTTATTTATACAAAATTATTATTTTTTGTTAAGTAGAAATGAAGTCAAATTTATATCGTATTTAGTAAAATGTTCGATATCATGATATATTGATATTTATATATATATATATATATATATATATATATATATATATATATATATATATAGCATTGATGTCAAAATTAGTAATTGAAATTAAGTGCAGTTGGAATACCCCAAGATAATAGTACAATGAATCATAGAATCAGGTAAAAGTCCCTATATTTAAATGGAAACGTTTCAAACATTATACTACACTTAAATTACTATGAATTCAATTAGATTTTTATCTCAAAGTAAAATTGTTTGGATAAAATAAAAGCTACTGCTAGTATTTAACTATTAAAACATATTTTAAGGAATTGTGTATTATGGTATGTTATATTATAAACCGAAAAAAGTTTATACTTAGTAAGTAAAATCTCATTATTCTTGTATAATGATGATTTGGTACTGTTAAGTAGAAATTGGAATAATCGGCCAGTTATCATAAAAACGGTTATTTTTCAATTCAGTTAATCCTTTACCAAAAAATTAATGCCTTAATAATTTTTTTTTTCTAGAATATGTCAATGTTGTTGACTGGGCTGAGCCTCTCTTCTTTCATTAAACGATGTACACCAAGCATTCGATTTTCATTATTCCTAGACCACTGTGTTAAGGATCTAACAAGTCATTGTTTTAAATTGAAGAATGATTGAGAAATTTTCTATATTCAGCGCTGAGATCTTTGATAGCATCAGACAGATTCTAAATTCATAGTTGGAATTCAGAGCGTTTCTTTATTCATCTGTTGAATCACCGATGGTTTAGCAGTTCCACCAGCTTTTGGGATCGATGGATCCCATTCACCTCCTGCTTATCCTCATTCACAATGTTGTTATTTCTCAATTTACTTTACACATTTATATTCAGTTTACTTTAATAAATATATTTATTTCTGTTTTGGAATTCAACAATTCAGTAAATAGGTATTTCCCTAGGTTTATTAAATTACCAGATTCCTTCACTCAAACAGAAAATGTAGACGTAAACACTAGACTACTTTATTTTGTTGAAGGATTTTTTTCTTCCAACCCATATTAATAGCTTTTAAATTGTATTCCTTTATAAATATTTTCCATTTATATCTCTGATTCTACTTTATTTACGTAGTTCGGGTTTGTTATATTTTGTGCAGTCTATAGGATCCTGAATCTCTGAACATTTTCGTGTAAATCATGGAAGTCCTTTTGGAAGTGATACGCATACACTTTGTGTGTGCACCATAGTTTGTTATAAAAATTAGTATATAAAGATTGTCTGAAGTTCGGAAAACGAATAACAACTTGGTTCCCCCTTTAAAAAATATGTGTCCCCAAATTGCTACGTTGCACATTGGGACAAGTAAGGGAAATCTCGCGACTTCTATTTGAATCTGTCTAATTTTTTAATTTGAATTTTTGTAGTGAAAATTTTCCAAATAGAGAGCTATGGGGAAAACATGGGACAGACACAGCTAGTGTAATTGTTTGCGATCTACGATTTTTCTAATTCTACCTTCGCTTGCATTGTTTTTAAGAATGTATATCCGGGAACGAAGTGGCCAATGGGCTAACGCGTGTGCACAGCACCGCGAGTTACCCGGTAACCAGGTAACAGATATGAGAGTTTTATAAAAAGTATGAGTACTTTTACTTTTACGAGTACTGTACTCCCCGTACAACATAAAAGGCTACGTAGGGAAGAACATAAAAAAAATATTATATATGCATATGTATATATCATGCATATTGCCATGTATATTTCATATTGCCATTTTGTACAAATGTGTGAACGAACTCATGTATATTTATCTACAATTTAATAAGTTTAATTTTGTTCTCTTATTTTTATCATAATTATCTGACCAATTATGTTAATCATTTCTCTATTATCTTCTAATGCCCGACAAATGTAAATTATCTGTTCATTGCACTTATTCTTAGGGGACTAAATAATTCAGAATAAAATTTTCTTTTCTTTTTTATTCTTCTTAAATACGTAATTTCAGTTTCGTAGGACTTTTCCTTTTTGAGCTAGGCTGTTCATATCCATACAGACAAGCATACTTGAGGTGGGACTTGGTTATTTGGACCTTAAAATCTGTATTTTCGTTTAAAGAAAACTCATATTGGAAATGTTTCACGTCCAATGCTTTCCCTTATCGTATATTTCATATATAGGTAAGTGAAAGTAAAAATATATAAGTGATCAAATAATTTCTGATGAATACCTTAGTTGGCACACTGCTCCCTAACGGCTGACACCTAATGATGTACATTATCGTACCATATAGTAAAAAGAAGCCGATGTAGGCAAACACTGCGAGCGGGTCTCCTCTGATTAGTTCCGGGTAAGCCAGTTTCAATATTAGAAAATAAGGAAAGCTAGTTGAGACTGTAACACAACAAACAGTTCGCTATAATCTCTAGGCTGTCTTTAATACTACAACAAAATAAATCGTGACGACTCTTACCTATAACCCAGCAACATATCCGAACGATTGACGATGAAATAACAGTGGGGCAGTTCCTTCGTAAGTTGTTTCCTTTGTTGAAAATGATCCAAAGAATTGGCCGTTCCGTTTCACCGTACTCCATCACTTCGTCTGTGTAACTAATAATCAATTTGCACTTATATTGTACAAATAATATGATTTATTTATATGTTATAAAAATCTAGAGGGGTTTGCGCATCACAAAACTTTCACTTACCTGTCTACCTTGAGTAAAAACTAGGTATTATCAAATTTAGGGAAGTGAAAGTCAAGATTGCGAAGTATTTGCGATATCCAGGTAACGTCTTTATTTCTATATACATTATAAACATTATTTCTATAATATTATCAAGTTAATCTATTCAACACACACAAACGGTGAAGCTACGTACTCTACTGTTAAACTAAAATTTATTTAAGTAAGTCACTAAGGCATTAGTGATTAGTTCGTCTCACTGAGAAAGATTCCTCCAGGATCGTTTCCGCTGAGACCGTTTGGCTGATATACTTTTTAGAAGCAAGTGACGATATTCTTTTGGATTATATTTATGAATTAAATAAAAGATGCAAGCGGAGAACGACACTGGTCGTCACTAACGGATCCAGGATTTAATTTTAGGGGAAGCTTCAGCCCGAAATTTTTTTTTCTATGTATATATTAGGGTAATTACTAACTACCTTTATGAAATGATGTTTAAGTGATTCTTTAAGTCCTTTTAAATATAAATAGACGAACAATAATACTTTTAGAGATAATTTCTTTCATAAAACATGCTTATATTTTACCATTTTGACGGGACCTAACCGTCGTGTGAAATTTGGTCATTTGGTTAACTTTTTTCTTAAGTTTTGGTTTTCGGACGTGATAATATGCCAATAGCTGATTTAAATGAAAATATAATGCAAACAGGATTTGAGTTTAAATATAAACTGGAAAGAATGAACATGACTTGGAACAGTCCTATCTAGAAATGGGAGAATTGATGAATAGATTCCCAATTAGGGGAGAGAAAAAAAAAGTTTATATCAACAACTTTGCAATATAGTGAAGAGAAAAAGGCAATTGGAAAACACCGCGAACTACCTATTTTTAAGGCTTTCTATCTTGGGGGCGGGGTGGCCGAATGGGCTAAAGCGTGTGCACAGCACCGCGAGTTGGCCGGCAACGAGATATATGAAGTTTTGAGAGACAGAAATAAGTACGAGTTCGCGTCCCGGTGCCGGAGAGAATGTTAAATTCCCCGCCCTCACCCTCCGGCCCGGGGAAATCCCGTATAGCCTAAAATGCGAGGTAGGGAAGAACAAAAAAAAAAAAAAGGCTTTCTATCTTACCTACCATTCTTTATTTAAGTGAGATTTAAATCCCGTTGGACAGGAACTGAAGTAGATCCGTTGAAATGAAGCTCCTCCGGAGAGTGACCAGACGAACAAGGATCGAGTTAGGAATGAGAATCACCTCGAAAATAGGCAGTCCATGTGATACGTTTATCTGTCCGAAAGGAATAACACCGAGGCTCATGAGACCGCGACGTCCTAGACGTTGCCCCCGAGGAAAACAAATGCGGTTAAGAACAGACCACGTAATGACAGCGATTCCTGGCTTGTGTGGACCTAGGCCGTTTATGCTGGAGGCACAAATGAGGTAGTTAAAGAAGTAGAAGAATTGAGGAATGTTACGCTAGTGCGCATTCGATTGCTAAGTAGATATTTGGACTAGTGTTTATTAAATTTTAATTTTAAGGTGATTTTTACCTAAGGTATACGAGACTGTAACAAATCGCGCTATATGCTGAAAGCGCTCCTAGGCATGACAGTTCCAACAGGTGTTCAGTTGAATAGAATAAAACACAAAGTGCTGAAATCAAATTACAAAATCGAATTTAGTAGCAGGCGGAATTTAAAATCTCATATATTTAAAAAAAAAATTGATCTGTTTAAAATTGTTTACCTGAGAAGGAACCAGCGGTGTAGAGAGCGTGAGCTGGAGATTTGGTCTTTTGGTCAACCTTGGCCAAGTATGCACATAAAAGGCCGTCTTCGGCCATGGCATACAACAGCCTCGATAATGGATATGTGTTGCAAATGAAACTGAAAGCATCGAACATAATATTATTCCGATTTTCGAACATTATATTTGATAAAGTTACAGTAATTGTAAACAAAATAACTGGAGGGAAAGAAGACAAGGTCTTCCTCTTAGAGGATCCTCCGACTCCTGGATTTAATCCACTGCTGATGTAACAGAATAAATAATTACCATCAGCCTGATTCTAACTCTGGACCTTGATCATAGAAAATCAGTGCCTTGCACGCTGGACTACCCCGTTTTCTAATATAATAATTAATAATCGACAAAAAAATAGATTATAAACTTGAAAAAAAAATAAAATAAAAAGTATTTGAAGTAAGTAACTCAACTAGAATATATTTTTTTTATAGTTTATTTGAATTAAAAATCAGCCATAGAGAATAAAACTAACTTGCCCAGCATTGTTATTGGCAAACCAACAGAAGTAATCCACTTCATGATGTCCAATCCTATATTTTGCATTATTTGTGGTATGGGATCATCGATATCCTGTCAAATAAGTTTATTTCCAAGTAGCAGTTTATAAGTTACGAAATAATAAAATTAAAAAAAATGTGAGTACCTGATCACAATACGACCATACCAGAGTGTAAGTGAAGGAATTGAGCGTAAAAAGAACGGTAACTATTATAACCGCTACGACCATTGATAAAGGTATCGTTCTCTGTGGATCTCTAATTTCTGAGCCTGTTGAAAATAATTAAGTATTGATGCAAATAAGAATTCGTTGATGTTTAACTCATACTTACGAATTATAAAACTTAATTTTGTTTATCTTTAATTGAAACATTAATCGATCGAGGGATATTTTCAATGAACTATTGAATGTCGTTAGTAACTCAAATTTTATTTTTTTATTTCTTAAAGACATTTACAACTGTATTAAATAAATACATCCAGTAAATTTGAACATAGTGTATATAATGACATGAAGACACTTGCTGAGTAACTACCCAATGATAGCACTCTAATGATATGTTTACATTAGGAGATCACGGGGCCATCTTCTTTTCAGACGCCTCGGAGGGTTATCAGGAATTGAAGAGGAAGCAAGGTTAGAAACGAGAGGGTTGGGATGATTCTGAAGTTTATTATGGAAGGATAGGTATCTGAATTGGGCCAGATCTGAAACAAAAGAAACATTAAGGTCATTATGGATGGTTTTATTTGTAACAAAGTAGGGAGCATTGAGGATTTTACGAAGGATTTTGGATTGTAAGGATTGGATACGAGAGGAATTCGATGGTTTAATGGAGCCCCTTAGCTCAACTCCGAAATTTTATTTGATTTAAAAATTACGCGAACCTGTAGTGATAAAATTAGTACAGGCCAACAATAGCGGATCCAGGATTTAACGTGAGTGGGAAGGTGGCTTGGATTATTTTTTAAATAACGTTAATTATTCTGGAAGAAACAATATAAAATAATGTATGAGTGGCATAAACTACATGGCCGTCGGGGACACCGAACAATCTTTAGGGGCGCTCGCCATTGTTAGAAATAAAAACAAAAATACAAAACGCATCAAAATAATCAATTTTAAGCTATCAATAAGGCAAACATAATAGAGAAATGTTTAAATAAAATTAAAATATTACATGATATAAGACAGCATAAGAAATGAATTTAACTTTTCTTTTTTGAGGAAGATGCGAGATGACGTCGTTGCCCGAGGGCGCGAAATTTCCCCGTCACTGCACATTTCAACGGGGTTCTGAATTTTCGAAATGAAAAGTTACAAGTCATGGAACGAGGAGAACGAGGAGAAAACATGGATGAGACAGCAGATAAGGTATTTGTATATAATCTACGACTTTGTAAATTATTACTTCATTCGCACTGTTTTTGAAGAGCAGAGCAATAAAATATCTTGGGAGGAGGGGAGAGGTTCATGCGTCATTGATCTGTTAGAGCACACCGTTGTCGTGATCCGCATATATGTCCAACGGTATTAAAACATTTAAGCTAGATTAAAAGAATAATTGCAGAAGATTAATATGATTATCAACCCTGTAAAAACGAAAGTAATGAGGGTCGGGAAGAGGCCTAGGAGAAATATGTCATTCCAGTCGAAGACAGAATCCTTGAGCAGGTAGAAAACTCCAAATACTTGGGCGCACACCTTAATGAAAATGGATGCATCGATTCAGAGGTGACTGAGCGAATCGCTGCTGCGAGCAGGATGTTTGAGGCAGTTAAGAAACGTTATATAAACAGGAGCGAGGTGGAAAAGAAAACAAAAGTAGCTGTTTTCAGATCGACATTTCTTCCCATTTTAACGTACTCTTCAGAATCATGGACGCTGACAAAGAAACATCGATCAAGGACACAAGCGTCAGAAATACCATTCCTCCGAAAGATTGAGGGGAAAACGAGAAGAGATAGAGTACGCAACACCACCATCAGATCGAACCTCAATATTAAGCCGGCCAATGATGTGATTGAGGAGAATCGACTGAGATGGCTAGAACATCTTCTGCGGATGGAGCCATACAGAATAGCTAGCGAAACCTATCGATCTAAAGTAGACGGCAAGAGAGGAAGAGGGCGGCCTAGAAGGAAATGGGAAAATGAAGTAAAGAGCGATTTCCAGAGAAGAGGTCTTCAATGGTATGATAGAAGGTGTCTTGTTGAAGACCGGCAGAGCTGGAAAAGGATCTATAAACTTCCTCCTCACACTGCTTAATGCGGTTCAAGAGGATAGATTATGATGATGATGGAGTATTAAATACACGACTTTTCAATTGAGCAAGCAAAATCCTACAAATCAAATTGCTACAAATAACTTTAGTGCAAAAATAATCTAATAAATGTAACAATTTTTTGGAAATAAGTTTCTTAGTCTGAAATGTGTTAAAAAGCCCTTTTATAACACACTCTTAGAAATTCCAAGGTATGTACACCATTGGTAACTTGATCTTTTAGTACAATAATGTCCTAATTCACCAATATATCAAATACAATGTTAAGATTGAATAGCACTCACCTGCATTGGCAATACCATCAAATCCTAGATACGATATGTACACCTTTGACATCCCTCGAAACACACTTCCTAAGCCGTAAGGAAGGAATCCTCCTTGCCCGCATTCTTCCGAAGGTGGTAAATTCCAATTATCGAAGTTGAGGTTTGAACCGGACACAAGTGTTATCAGTATGTACAATCCCAAATTTGTCATGCAGCAGCAATTATTAATAGTTGAAACTTTTTTCACATTGAATAATGACACTAAGCCTAGAAGAAAAAATAATTTATTCTACACAATATGTTGAAATGTTATTGAGTTAGATAAGAGAAATCAGTTAAAAAATATTGTCTTATTACCTATAGCCCAGCCAATGAATGATTAAAGAAGGCAGCGATACAATTTTTGACATTGGGACATAGTTTGGTCTAGTAAGGAGGTAAACATACTAAAAGTTCCCACTCTTAGGTTGTGGGCCAAGTGCGTGGAGAGGGGCGCCCAGAAGGTTACTTTCTTCATATTTTCGCTTATATCAGGAAAACTATCCATCGCATCGACAAAGATGTTCTATACAAATTTAAAGCTGATAAAATTTGTCATATGATTGATAATAAACGTGATATCCGTCCTCGACTATTACTATTTTTATCAGCTTTAATTTTGTATAGAACGTCTTTAACGATGCGATGGATAGCTTTCCTGATATAAGCGAAAGAGTAACCTAGGCGCTCCTCTAATCTGGCTCACCACCTGGAGACTTTTACTATGTTTACTTCCTTTGTACTCCAAACAATGTACAAAAGTTCCAAAATTATGTCCCCGCCATTTCATTCTATTCTTTTCGAGCATTCATTGACTGGACTACTATCTGTACATATATTATTACAGTAAGGCTGGAAATCGGTTTTGTACCAAATATAAGCTCCTGTCATGCTCAAATACCACGAATGGGGTACTGTTGGATTCAGAATTTCACGAGGGGTTAGCGAATCGTATTCTCCACTTTTGTTTTTCTTTCTAAAATGAATAAAGTCGATATTGGAACGGTGGTAGGTCTGTAGATCGATACGGGACAAATTGGATCTTAAAGATTTTGATGCGTACAGCAAAACCCGAATAGTTCCTTGGAACTATCGGATCCTGCGTTTTTAAGCCGAAAAACGTACTATTATCGAGATAACTCAAGGCATAGGGTTCGCATCCACACAACCTTACATTAATTGTAGTACTGTCATTGAATACATGTCTCATTTCGTCGACTTGAGGTCTCTATGATCGAGAGAGGGGGAGTTTATATTATTCATCGATGGTGTTTTTGATCGGCAAGTCATATCATCGTTTATTTTTCACCAAATCTCAAGATTGAGCCACCAATTTCGAAGGCTTCCTTCTCCTTCAGGCTGGCAAAATAGTCCAATCACCCAGAAAATTCAGGCAAACAAGTTATGAAAGAAAATAAACTTTATTTGCGAATAACTGAAAAATAACACACTTTTCCCTTGGTCATGCCCATAATTACATATTGAAGATTACTAAATTCCCTACAAATGGAAAAAAAAGTCATCGCAATCGGACAATTTTTAGCAAATATACAGCTAACTGAAATTTGTATACATGTTGGTTCCAAACAAAAATGAAGATTTAAATTAATTTTTGTTTGCTTTGTGGATTATATTTATCGATAAAGTAACATGTGATGTCTTAATCTTTTGATAAGCTGCATTTTCTTATTAATTTGGCATTTGATAACAATATGCTGTGCGAATTTTTCGCACGGGCCTACTAGTGTATGTATAAAGGGGCAGTTAGATATTTCACGAACTATAGTAAACACAAATATATAAATATTTTAGTTTTTGTTTTTCATTTGCTGACCGTGCAGAGAGTGACTTTTTAATCTGGCATAAATCTCCTCCCTTTTTCCTGAACAGAGAAAACCACGCTTGGCCTCAATGCAAGGAAGGGCAGAAAAGAGCAAAAGACAACATTCATTCATTTCTTATTTATTGTTAACATTAAGCTGTCATATTATATTAGTAATGAATCATTCTGTTTCAATTTTCCTAAATTAGTGTTCATAATCCCATTATTCCTAATCTATACATTTACCTAGTGCGCAAAGAGAAATGATACATCCGACAACGTCTGGGTAAAGATAAAAAAAAGGACTTGTGAACGTCATGTAACCTTTTATGTGTCTGCTGAACCAGTTGCTAAACAGTTCGTCAATCAGCTTGCTTATTCCACGTGCTGCTAGGGCTGAACCTGGAAACAAAGAAGTAATTTTTTAAAAATATTCAGGCATATTTTAAAGTGTATCTATTTTGTTTAGAATTTATATGACCAGAGAGTGAAGTCCAATTTAGAACAATGTTGCAGGATTGAAGAATAAAGGACACTAATTCCCTTTCGCCATAAGATGGTGGATGGTATCAAAATCATCCAGAGCACACTATTTCTAGATTCCCGATGAATGCCGAAAGTAACCGAATATTGACAGTCTCGGTTACCTCCGAAATAATTGCTTGACTTAAACGTATTGTTTAGATTAGGTTAGATCATACTTTCGCTTTTCCAACACATAATAGTCCTTGGTACAGACCCCTTTTTATCGAATTATTAACATCCGCCTGAAACTTTGTAAATAGTTTCATCTCATCGTAACCTGCAACTATTTTATTTAAGAAAACTCTTGGAATTGGGGCGTTTTCAATCTGGGACAAACTTTGTCTATTTAATAATTAGGAACTAAAAACTCGTAAATACCCATTTGCTTTCTACTTGGATCGGAAGATAATTCGATCACTAAATTGATAAAAAAACTGTTGTCTACAAAAATATTGGGCCGTTTGTCCAATATAACCTCGTTATTTTGAAAATTTGGAGGTGTATGTCACGCCAAACGGCTCAATATTTTTGAAGCCCACATTTTTTATAGATTTTGTGATCATATTATCTTACGGTCCAAGTAGAAAGCAAATGGGTATTTACGATTTTTGAGTATCTAATTAAATAGGCAAAGTTTGCCCCTCTCCAGATTAAAAACGCCCCAATTCCAAGAATTTACGTAAATAAAACAGTTGCAGATTACGATGAGATGAAACTATTTAATAAGTTTCGGGCGGATGTTAATAATTCTACAAAAAGGGGTCTGTACCACGGACTATAAATATGTAATTTTTTTACAAAATTAATATGCATCCCAATAAACTTAATTTTTTGACCGACTATCCTGAAGATTTTACATCCTTATTAAAAAAAAATGTAATCCAAAATTGAAGAAGTGTCTTCTTTCTACGAATATTTACAAATATGACAATATTATCTCATGAGTAATCCTAATTTGTGTTTTTTTTTTTTTTTTAATTGCTGTAATATTCTGGGAATATTTAAAAATTGTATTCATATAAATACACGTTTTTGAAAAATAAAATCTTCACTTGGCATCTTCAATTTCTAAATTTTTTTATCTGAGAAATAAATAAGATACATTTTTTTTTTTTGTTTAATATTATATGGTTATTTATTTTGTTTAATATTTATTAGTGAACCAACCTCCAAAGATACTGGTGGTCATAAATAAAACTGGTGGCCACCTTAATTTTTATTCGTTATTTCTTTCCCAATAGAAAAACTTTAGCATTTTTTTTTACCGTAATATAGTGTGACATTCCGTTTCTTGGAGACTACAAATAAAGAGAATAACAAACAAACAAAAATAAAACTCATATCGATGTCGGTGATATACGTGTATGCATTAAGCTTCGGCCTTCCGAACACATGGATGTCTTTTTTTTTTTTTCCCCTACCTCGCCTATTAGGCTATACGGGTTATCCGGGCCAGAGGGTGAGGGCGGAAAATTTAAAATTCCCTCCAGCACCGGGACGCGAACTCATACTTTTTTTATCTCATAGCTTCGGTTACCTGGTTGCCGGGCAACTCCCCGTGTTGTGCACACGCGTTAGCCCATTCGGCGACCCCACTCTTATTAAAACAAATACTATATACTATGAAAAGAAATACCCTTGAGATCTATTAACGAAATCACAAAACAAATTATGCTAGAATTTTCTTTTGTGTCTTGCCTATTGTTCACTGTAAGTGACTTTTAAATAAATTATTTTAAATTAAACCTAATATCAATTTATCTCTTTCCATTTCAGATCTAGTCTGTGATTTTCATAACATTTTATTCTAGGATTCAAATATTATTTATTGATATAACTGAAATCCTCTTCAATCCAACGTTAACAAGCCTCGAGGGCACAGGCGGATCTACGGAGGGGAGGAGGGGGGCTTTCGGGACGAAGACCCCCCCAAAATGGTAAAATATAACTATGTTTTACAGAAAAAATATGATAAACTATCTCTTAAAGTATTCTTGTTCGAGTAATTACATTTAATAAGACTTCAAGAACCACTTAAACACCATTTCATATAGGTGGTTAATTTCTTTCTTTTTTTTCAAATTAATTATCGTTATATGTATACGGAAAAAAAAAATCTTTCGGGCTGAAGCCCTCCCCAAAATTAAATCCTGGATCCGCTAATGCTCGAGGGTACTCACTTCAATAAATTAAGTAAGAGAACAAAAAAGTACAATAATATTCAAATAAATCTTCTGTGGTATGCTCGAAAGAGTAATAGGTTGGCTTGGTAGTCTAGTCCTTACGTCACGATTCAAGTCCTCCCACTACATATTTCTGAGTAAGCAAATCTGGTAGTTTTATAACCTCGTAGCATGGATCCAGGAGAGGGGCTTTCGGGCTGAAGCTCTCCCAAAATGGTAAAGTGTAACTATCTTTTATAGAAAAAATATTGAAAACTTATAGTTTAAAGTATTATTGTTCGTGTAATTACATTTAAAAATACTTCAAAAATTACTTAAACACCATTTCATATAAGTAGTTAATATCTTTTTTTTTTTTTTTTCCAAGTAAGTATCTTTATATATATGAAAAAAAAAGCTTTAGTGCTGAAGCCCCCGAAATTAAATTATGGATCCACTAGTGGCCCTTGGTTATAGGTGGTCATCTTGAGTAGCTGATGAGGACTAGAACCGAATAAAAAGTTTCTTTCTTTTTTTCTTATTATTGAAGTAAAAGAATATTTTTTTTTACAATGGATTAATCATTCAATTTTTAAAAAAGAGGTATAAATAACATATCATACCTAAGATATGTTCCATGCTGAGGAAGCATCCTAAAAAAGCAGCGCGCACCTCCCCAATATGCTGGTAGGCAGCGCTATACGCTCCTCCACACGTGTTATCGCGCTTGATGAAGTCAGCATAACACAGAGCTATCAACATATTAAAAGTACAATGTCAATATCATTTGTTTATTTATAATATTTTCTAAAAATCGATTTTACCCGACATGAGGATAAGTCCGGCTGTAAAGATATTCGTCAAGATAAATGCTGGACCAATGGTTGCGCTGTAAGTTCCGACGAAAAGAAAAGAACCTACTCCGACTGTTGCACCAACTCCGAGAAATGTCACATCGAACATGTTCAACTCTTTGGCCAATAATTCCTCACCAACTCCCGGCAAAACTCGACGGTCAAATGAATTTTTCATGAAGGATTGAAGAATGGATTCCTGTTGCTGAAATAATATTGGAAAGTTATTTCACACAGCATAGATCAGACAATGTATAAGTTATTTGTGATTGTATTGATAAATGCATGAATGTCACTGCTTATTTTGATCTTTGCTAGAAACTCGAATATCTTTGCTTATTATTATGTTGAGATGGATAATGAAATGGACGATAATGATTTTGTTATGGTTACCGAAAAACACTCAGGCTTCTTGTAAGTCACTACTGCTCTTCATTACTAATTATGGGCTGTTCACAGAAAGTAATACCAACCTTTCTTCATACATAGACGGCCTTGCTTCATCTGGAATGTTCTGTATTCTTGAGGTGATAATGTGAATATAAATGATCCGAAGGGAACTAAATCTATTGGTTTATTTCTTGTCAAATTAAACGACACCGTTGACTACTTTACTAATAAAAGTTCAGATTTTCATTTGAGATCTTGATGTCATCATTGGTGTATCTCAGCTGGAGTACTCCGAGGTACAGTACTCGCTTTTGAACGTTGTGGTCAATTTCCATCTGGTTCGTTTAATGGTCATTTCTTGTCTGCCCCAGAAATGAATCTTGATTCTCCCACTCTGTTAAGTACGCGGCGGAAAGCCGTCAGTGGTTGTCATAAAGGAGCAAGAGACCCACTTGTTATATTAGTTCCTCCCCACCAGTTCTAGTTCCAGTTGGCCTAAACTGGAAGATTCCACTATTCCCTGGAAAATAAGCTATCCGTTATATTAATGTAAGACTCGAGGAAGAAACTAGAACCAATCCTTAATATGGCGTTTGCCATCTCATTGTGATCCTTTCGTATTTAGGCGTATATTTTATAATGAGTTTTTTTTTCTTTTATCGTCTTCTTAGACGGTTGGGGACTTTTAAGTATTATTTAATTTAATTTTTCAATATAGTTTTCGTGTTATTGATACAAATTGCCATATTTTCTCTGTTCTCTGATCTTAATAACGGTTTGGACGTGGTGACAGATGTTTATTTGGTCATTCATTTTTGCACCACAACATGTGTACTTTTCTATACTATTTAGTTGAATTTTACCCTCATACTATCATTACATTGAATAGCGTCAATTTTTCGTTTTATATATAATATAGTAACATCATTTTCATGGGTGTTTCTTTGAAATATAGTAATTCAGTTTCATCAATTATTCTACCTTAAATGATTATCACAAAACTCACAAGTCTGTATTATTCTCTTCATCGAATCGACCGCTGATAAAAATAATAGAAATATTATAATTAGAATTAGTCTTACTAATTATTTACCTCCATCTCGATTTGTGACTATAGATTTCAAAAAATGAGTTTTTCTTAGAATTAATTTTAATCAATACATGTGATTATTTTCAACAATAATCTTTATTATTCAATTCTAACATTAATTGATAACTAGTGGCTCATGTCGTAGATTTGTCCGCTTTATAAATATTTAGATCTTTGATGATTTGAATTTATAATTTATGTTTTTTTTTTTTGTTTTTTTTTTAACAATCTCTAGTATTTTACAAATGTAATTTTATATCGAAAAAGAAAAATAAATTTACAAAGTCTCTTGAATGAGTTACATTTTGAGTAATATTCCTAGAAATTAGTAGTTTAGACATTTATTGTAGCACTGCAATAATAATAATGTGTAGTAACCTTTTTTAAATATCGCGTTTCTCGTGTGATTGATTTTATGTAGGTATATATAAATATATACATTAATTAATTTTAAATTGAAATTTACTATATTGAAATACAATACAAAATATTGTAGTGGTGCGTTAATTTTATTCATCGGTGCATATATGTCTGTTTATCTATTGGTATTTAAGGGATTTCAGAGTGAATTTAAACGATAAATAATGCTTTGTTTACTGTTAAGGATTATTTTAATCTTGATATTCATGGACAGTAGCATTAGACTGATATAATTTCTTCTCATAAACCTGTTCTCATTAGTTCTTTCATATCAAACTAGTTCGCTACTCATCTTTTTTGCTCTCAATGGCTGAAGTTAGTCATTAAAGTGAGTTTGACAGTCAAATTTATAGAGGAAGGATACAACTAGAGTTAAATCGCCAAGAGGTAGTTCACCATATAACTACCGGGAAAACTATAAAATCTTTTAGAGAGATTGGACATCACTCTAGAAGTGGACAGGATCGGCATAGGCGTGCAGAAGGCGCTTCGTACATCAGACAACGGGCCTTCCGAAACCGCAGTGTCACCGGAAATAAGATTAGAAATCTCATTAGACAATCCCGAAATTAGTCAATTTTTATCAGGACTGTTAGAAGAAGGCTTAGTGAATGTAACATCCTGCCCGTGGAGCTATGTTTACCACAGCTTACCAAATGGCTAGACTTCGATTCTCACCAGATCATGCGAGTTGGACATTGGAAGATTTGAAGAGACACTGTAAGGAGCAGACATTGGGCATTGTAAGGAACAGGAAGAGACATTGGAGGGACATTGTAAGATTGAAATAATTCGTAGATGAGAGTTATTCTCAACTCTCCACATGGTCATATTTACACATGAAGACGCCCAGAAGGAAGGTACTGGCTAGCAGATGGAGTTGGCTGAGGTGCGAGGAAGTTCACTGGACTGATGTACATATACGACATTATCGAAGAGGTTTTTGTGATATTTATACCTTACATTGGTGATGAATCCGTTTTACGGAAGACAATGCCAGATCACACAGACCATGAATGGTGGATGAGTACCTGATTAAGGTTGGGATTGAGTGCTTGGTGTGGTCACCGGGAAGTCCAGACTTAACCTCAACCGAACTTGTCTACGACCTCCTTAACTGAAGAGTACAAAGTCTGAATCCGAGACCTAGCACCCTCGAGGAATTGGAAACAGCTGTTCTGAAAAAGTGGAACAACATTCCTCAGAACATTCCTCTTTTGGCGCCAGTTATGGAAATACTCTTTATTAACTTTTAAAAAAATGTGAGTTTTCCTTTTTATTTGCTTTTTTGCAGTTTTTCATGTAGACAATATTTTTTCTTTTACTTACTATGTAACTTATTTTATTGATGAAAAATAACATTTTGTTTTCAAATGACTAATCATATCATATAAAATTTTATTGGGCCTCGAAATTCGAATAATATAGATGTCTTTGAAAAAATGTAGTGGGTGCAATAATTTTGTCCATCAGTGTATATATGGTAGAGATAAGTATTCGGGCTGAATCCTCTCTCTGAAAAATAATTTGTTGTTCATTCCTCCGTATTTGTTTCTGTGATTAATCTCAGTTAAACACTTAAACAATTACACTATTTACTATTTTGAAATTATAACCCATATCGATACTGTTAGTGCAAAAGGTCATATGTGAAAATTCAGTTTTTTACAAGAGTGCATAGGAAATGAAATGGATTATTTCTTTATGATTTATTAGCATAAATTCATATTTTATTTCCCTCTGCCATTTTCCATAGTAGGAGACTACACTTACAGCAGTTGCATACTACAAAATGCCACCTTTAGCACAGATAGAATATCTGAATATAGAATAGCACAGATCAGTGTAAAATTGTTACATACGACCCTTTGCACTAACTGCAGCGATATGTAATTAATAATTGTTTGTTTTTTTTCTGCCGAAGTAACGCCTGCTTGATCAGCCATGCATGCTCTTGCAGTCCAATATAATTTTAGTCTCCTAGCATAAGGGCTGTCCATTTCGCTAAAGGAACATTTTATGGCTTGTAATTCAGAGCATGTGTCAAGATGTTCTCCTTTCATAATATCTCAGGAACACAGAGGGCATGTCGGGCTATCCGATGCAGTGGAGGTGCTTCTGAAGGAAATCATGGCCTGTGAGTATTCTAAAGCATGCATGCCACTGCTTGCCCTCTAGGGAGGTCTCTAGAGATCCTGCCACTTTCTTCCAGCAATCCATTCCATCCCTTCTCTTCAATTGTTTGCGCATATTTCTCCTTCAGTGAACTTTGGAGGGTCTGTTTTATAATTCTTTTCGGTGAATCCATGCCTAGAGGAATATCTGATTGGATCATTTCAGAACCTATTCTGTCCCTTCTGTCAGCTTCATCATTTCCGTGGAACCCGCAATTGCCTGGTATCCACTGGAAAGCGACTTCTGTCCCATTTTCCTTTAATCGGTCCAGATACAGATGGTATTTAAGGACATTTGGATTCATATTATATCCATTTTGGAGAGACAAAATGGCTGCCTGTGTGTCAACAAAGAAAGCAATACTAAATGTAATGTAAAGATATTTTTCAAAAATGTATTTATTTATTTTTATACAGTCCTTCAAGGACCATTTAATCATAATTTTATGTACTTTCATTTAATTATTCCCATATTTGGACTAGTTACTTTAATATTATAAAATAAAGGCGTTAGTAATATTAATATAAACGGACTGTAACATTGTTATAATAAAATATTAAGAGTAAAGTAACTAATAGACATGCAAAAACTTGACATTATTTGAAGAAATGAGAGAACAAATTAAAAATATTATGCCAGTAACTTGAAGATCGAAACAAGAAATTAATTGCGGAAAATGTGGGAAAACTTTTTATTTTTTTAACTTATATAAAACGGTTCGAACATTTTAAAAAATAAATTGTAAACACAGGTCTCCAAGGAAAACTTTTAAATTCCAAAAAATCCATATTTTTTTCTATCTTTTTTTTCGCCTAAAACTCCTTAATGGTTCATCGAAGCGAAAAAAACAAATTCTTTAAGAAATTAAAGAACGTTAAATTGTGCGTCGAAGGAGTACCTGGACTTAATAATTTGGTTAAGCATGGTAGACAACCCTGATCAACGAACGCTGATTTTTACCAAATTTGTGCATTTAATGTCCTTTTATTTTTATTTTGTGCCTATAATTCACATCCAGAAGATATAATAATATATAATTTTAATTAAGGGCGTTGATGACCAATAGGTTTTACGCCTTTACTATACAACCAACCAACCAACCAAATTTGTTATTATGAGAAGGAGTTGATCGAGAGATGCGGTCAAATAAATTCTAAATTTTATAAAATAGTATTTCTAATCATTACGCCGTCGTTTCGGCCCACCTTGCAGGTCTTCATCAGGGCTACAAAATATAAAAGGTACATGGTGAAAATAAAATAAATGAATTATAAGTAGATGTTAAATAAGAAACAGTTGTCTGATAAAGAAATAATAAGATGATATCAGAGATATAGTGTGTGACAATGTATTTAAAATATCAAATATTATATAAATACAGATGATACAAAAAAAATAGAAAATAAGTATGAATAAAAATATAAAACAAAGGAGAATATAGCATGTAAGTAATTGGTTAGGAGTTATAAGTGAGAAAAATCCGACTTTTTTTGGATGTAAAAGGTTTTCTCTTGGAGTCCTGTATTTGCAATTTTGTCTTTAACGTTTATTAGCCCATATATCCAAGTTAAAAAAAAATATAAAATTTTCTACATTTTTTTTGCAATAAATTTTGTCGTTTCGATCCTCAAGTTACTAGCACAATATTCTTTAATCTTGTAGCCTGATTGGACTGGCACACGGGCGGATCTACGGAGGGGGCTTTCGGGCTGAAGCCCCCCCAAAATGGAAAAATATAACCATGTTTTATGAGAAAAAAAATTTTAAAAATACCTCTTAAAGTATTATTGTTCGTGTAATTACATTTAAAAGTACTTAAGGAATAACTTAAACACCATTTCATATAGGTAGTTAGTTTCTTTCTGTTTTTCCAAAGTAATTATCGTTATTTTTATGAAAAAAAAAGGGTTTCGGGCTGAAGCCCCCCCCAAAATTAAATCCTGGATCCGCTAGTGGACTGGCAGATTATTATTTATTTATTTATATATATATATATATATATATATATATATATATATATATATATATATATATATATAAATGTTATGAATATCCAATTGATTTCAAAATTTACCTCAGATAAGGTCAATTTTTTTGCACGGATTTTCGGACTATAAAAACTGAAAAATAAGTAATACCATAGACACTTTTAAAAATTATATTTATATATATTTGAATGAATGTCAAATCAAAAATATATTATTTATACGCAATATACATTTCTCAACGGTCAAGGTTCTCTTTCGTCTATTAGGACTAACAATTTATGAGGGTCAAATCTTTTGTCTGTTAAGAGGTAGTTAATTTAGAGCAATTCCCGCTTACACTTGTATGAACTCCTCGTTCCAATATCACATTAAATCGTACAAGGCACCCTCAATCTAAAAACCTTCCGAAATAGTTTGTGTAACATCTTTCATCTTAGTTTAATGTTTACTTGAATAGAGATAAGATAAACAATCATGCTGCCTTTGTGAAAATGAGATATTATTTGTTCGGTTCTCTCTGAGTAACGATATTGTCATTTCCAGTTTGTTCCTCTTTTAAATATATAATAAATGAGTAAGTCAAAATACAGGTATATAACCGTTTCGTGGAGATCAGAGCTTAGTAACGGAAGTAAGTATTTGCGTTCTGGTACTTCTGCTCTTTGTAGGAGAATACGTTCCTTGTTGTTCTCAAGAAAGAAAAGTGGTTATGATCATCTGATAACCGATGAGGAAAAAAGGTATTTATATTTTTTAATTAAGGTAGTTATCTTATCTCTTATTTACTCACGTATAAAAAAAAATTATAAAATAGATAAAATGCTGATATAATGAATTTTTTATAAATATGACAGCCGAATAGATTTACAAAAATACAGTTTATCAGTGCTCTTTCTGTTTGCGTTAATCAACTGTATTTTATATGCTAATTTTTTGTCGACAAAACTAATTCCCTAAGTATAACAATCGTGCCGTTCCATAAATGGTCCATCGATGATTCCTCCAGAATGTTCAGGAACGCGCTGGTGTTTTCAAGGGGGAGGGGCTTCTATGCTGAATTCCTCCCCACCCCCCGAAATAGGAAATTCATTTCTTTGTTTCATTGGTCCATGTTTGTTTATTTGATTGTACGTTTAAATTACAACGCATGCATTTCAGCTACCGACTGCATTCACGTGTCATTTAAAAATGTAAACATTTTATCCCTTAAAATATTAGGTTGTCAAGAAATGAATGCGCATTTATGGTTTTAAAATAAAATAAATGTTAACTAACTATCACGTCCCAAAAATGTCTTTCTTTTTTCTTTATTTGTTGTTTTAGGTTGATTTTTTTTTAGATTATTTATTTATTTTATTTGGCAGAAAACACACGTTTTTTCTTTTACTTACAAAAAATTTTCTTATTCTCAATTCCGTTTACCTTAACAAGGTGCAACCTTCACCATAAAAAAAACTAAAACTAAACAATAAAAATATAAAGATAAATCGTGGGTTAGAGTCCCCAGGTCTCACATGCGTTAAGATTCTCTTCAAAATCTATGCAGATATTTATACAATAACTTGCTGCGTCATAAATATTTTAAATATATATACAGACCCAATATATGCAAAACTTAAATAAAAATAAAATTAACAATCAATTATAATGATGTAGAGATGGTTGACCGTTGATATAATATGAGGAGTTGATCGGGGGATGCGGTCAAATTAATACTAAATTAAATAAGTAGAATTATTTAATTTTTGCTGACGTTTCGACCCACTTTGTAGGTCTTCATCAGGGCTACAAAATACAATTTTCACCATGTTTTATATCTTTTGTAGCCCTGATGAAGACACAAAGTGGGTCGAAACGTCGACAAAAATTAAATAATTCTACTTATTTAATTTAGTATTAATTTGACCGCATCCCCCAGTCAACTCCTTCTCATAACAATCAATTAGTTAAATTTACTTGATTAACAAAAAATAAATAAATAAATGGACACGCATATATAAACACAGTCACACGCACATGCCCACTGATATATAAACTTATATGCATTCCTACTTACACCGGCATACACATCCAGAATATTCATAAAATAATACATATTTAATAGCAATTCAACCCCATTTTCTTTTTCTTTCTTTTTTTTTTTCATTTCGGTAATATATCTCTTTTGAGCACAAGTGGGATTCAATATTGAATATTTTATATTAACTCGGATTAAAATCTAAATTAATTTAACATACTAGTTTTAAAAAAAAATCAGATTAGAGGTAATGAATATACGCAATGATGAATATACATCCAACTAAAAAAATAACCCCTAAATTATTTTTTATCATTTTTAACGGGGTAACAATTTATGCCAACCGTAATAATTCAAGTTCGATCCCTTCAGAACATTTGATGTTCTGTGATTCATCGTTTTCTTTGTTAGTCCCAATCCTGAAATGTCTCGCATGGAATCTCTACACCATATCCCTCTCCAGGTCAAAGTACAGGAATATACGTTAATGTCCATGAAAATCCATCTCTCAGGAAGTCTGTTATATCCTTTGCCGAAATTGTTGAGACTTACTTGCAAAATATTCATCGAGGTTTTTATTTCGTTTTCGGATTTTTGGCATTTATCACGGAGAGATTTTTTTAACGGAAGAAATAATTAAAAACCGGATGGGATAAGGTCTGGGGACTACAATGCAACGTGCGACGCATTGGCCGTAAGACAGAAACTTGCAGTCAGACTTGCAGTTTGATTGGGATTTTCTTCCTCATCCTCCAAACCTTGCCCGGATTCGATTATTATGTGAGAAAAAAAATCTCTTATGGTCTTCCCTCGACCATTTTTTTCTTCATGGCTGAAGTCTTCATCTCGAAATATTTTAAACCATCATTGAATGGTGCACTTACGTTACCGTCTAGTGTTGCCCAAAATCGGTCTTGGTCCTGTACTTTGCAAGACCAAGACCAAGGCCGCCTAACTGTTGCAAGACCAAGACCAGGACTTATAAAAAGATATCGAGTTTTTGAATAAAAATTAAGGCAAAATAGTTACTAATAATTGACAATCTTAGTTACTATATGTAAATAATTGGTATAACCATTATTACATTTAACTCCTCTAATTTTTCATTCAGGCTTAATTAGGTTTCTCCTATCTAAAAAATTACAGTAATATCTCTAAAGTAATAAGGAAATAAATAACTGCAAGACTCTTGCGCAAGACCAAGACCATGACCATGTCCTCTTGCTCTCGCATTTGAGCAACATTGCTGTCGTCGCACGCAGCCTTCGTTAATATTATGGGGAAATCACGCTTTGACATATTACATTAGTAAAGTATGAATTATTTTTTAACAATTGAAATGCAATAGGAGATAAAAAACATTTTTTTTTAAAAGAGAATGTAGAAGTATTGCCTGTCATACAAAAGAATTATCTCTCAAACGCAAATAGGAGAGGTTGAAACTTTTTTAAAATGTTACATTTTAACAGTTTCTGTGAAACATTTTAGACAAAAAGTTCTTAAAATAAAAGTTCTAAGGAACATTTTTATAATAAACTTTCAGGTTTATGGTGAATTTTTGACTTGTATTTAAGTTTTAAAAAGAACGTTTCGATAAATGAATTACTCGTGATTCTAATGTGTCGTCTGTTTGAGTGGCTAAGAATAAAAATCATTTTTTAATCGAATTTTTAACGAAATCGACACTTAACTTTTGAATAAAAGTTTTTTAAAAATAAAAGTTAACGAAGATTTTTTTCTAAAACTACAATTTTTTTTTTAAACTTTAGTGTATTATTAGAGTATGAGAACTAATAATTCGTATAACATGTTCATGGATACATATATATACATATATATATATATATATATATATATATATATATATATATATATATATATATATATATATATATATATATTACTATTATAAATAATTAAGTTCACTATCTTAAAAAATAAATTATTAACCAATATACCAACGATGTTTATAGGCGTCTAGAAGAATTCTTAGCTTCAAGAAAGGAATATATGGCTAGAGCTGAAGTTCCATTTTCGGCTTATTACATATGAAGTTTACAGCGAATAATTTATCGGTAAGTGTTTACTAAATATAATATTATATGCATAAGATCAATTACAGTTCTTGGTTATTTTTGAATTAATTATATTGGTTCGGATGATAGTCCATCGATGATAGACCATTTAACTCTACATTAATTTATAGAGTTAAATCAAAATCATTTGTGCCATTTTTGAGAAAATTGTAAAATTTATGATATAAAGTTATATAATTATAAAATCTTGATATTGGGACCTCTATATCATAAATCTATTTGGTCAGTAAAGTTGGATAGGTGTTTAGATATATTTCTTTTTTTTATTTAAGAATTTGTTACGCATTGTGGTTTACATGTACCTAGATTCTTTTTGGAAATCTGGGGTGAGAACCCTCCATTAGTCAATGACTTATCACCCAAACCTTGCTTCTGTTCAAACTCCCGAAGGAAGTACAATAAGTATCATAGTCAGAACTGAAAAGAAAAAAGTGAAAATCTGTTCATTCCTTTTATTTAGTTTTTAGTTTGTAATAATAATAAAAGGCTTAGTGAACCCGAAGGTTCGATGCCGACACCACCAATCGAGTTTTTAGTTTTTGTTCATGAAAAATTCATTTCATTTTCATTTTCACTTATATGAAATGGATATGGTAAGGATAAGTATGGCGATCGTCCAACTAGAAATATCACTAAAATGACATTACCCAAAAAATGTTGAAATTGGTGTTAGTCATTCTGGCAACTGAAAGGCTCAGAGACTGAAGTTATGTGGTTTATAAAACTAGATTTGTATTGCCTAACGTGGATATAATAAATAGAATGTTTGTATTTTTAATGGTATTGATGATTTGTTATCTGTGAGCTTTAAGCTTTAGCTTCGTTTAAAATGCTCTTAAAACATTTTATAATAGCCCAACATTGCCAAAAAATAATTTCTACTCAAAGTAGAGGGGTGAGTGAAAGTTCTGTGTTGCGCGCATCAGATTTTTTATTCGTCCCCCAATTTCTTGAAACTTTCCAGATACTTAATATTTTTGAATATACTTGCGTTGGTGTGTAGACGATGCCCATAAATAGTGATAATGAATGTTCAGAATATGAATCAGTATTGATGTTTAGTCTTCGTGAATCATTGTATGAAAAAAAAGAGAGTTATATAATTATAAATTCTTTATATCGGAACCTCTATATCATAAATCTATTTGATCAGTAAAGTTAGAGAGGTGTTTAGATAGATTTTTTTTTATTTCAGTATTTGTTACGCAATGTGGTTTACATTTGCCTTTAATTTATTTAGCTGAAATGATCATACTTATTCATCCCACTAATGAAAAATAACTATACACTTATGGATATATTTATTAAGAGCCTATTATTAACGAAAAAACTTACTAGAAGATAGTCATATCAATTTTATAAAAAGTATGAAAATTGACTTTTGAAATTAATTTTTATAGTGCTGCTGATTTACAACACTGGATTCATTTTTTTTTTTTAATCAAAGAAATTACTGAAAGATATTGTTCAAGTTAATTTTAAAATTTTAAAGAATTTATTTATGCAAATTACATAAAAAGTAGGCTCGTATTTTAAAATTACCGTCCAACCCAAGCCCATTATTGCCTAAGTAATTACTAAATAAGCTCAACAATGAAGTTACAAAACGATGTACTTTTTCAGTACTTATCTAAAATGTTCCTCGTATTATGACTTGATCTTTTTTTTTTAATTTTTATATCTGCCATTTCAAATTATGCTTATGTTATGTATAAAAAAGATTTTTTTTAAAAATATTATTGTGTTCAGTTGGCAAACAAACATGTAATCAGACATGCATCTATAGCGTTTAAGTTTAAAATCATTAAATATTTATAAATATTATATTTGTATATTATTTGTTCATTTATTTTATTTTTTCCAAAATTTCATGCCATACAAAAGTACAGTTATTTCTCGTTCCCAAGCAGTGGCGTTAGTTTTCAAAAAGTGGCAATAATGGGAGCTCTAATTTGCACAGCAGTGTGAAACCAATATCTCAAGAGAAAGCGTGAAAGTCTGTATTCTAGAATTGAGAAACTTGGCAAAGAAAGCTTTCTTTAGTGTTATGTAATAATTTTATTTATGAATATAGCTTGTAGTGTTATAATCTAAAAGAAAATTAGTGTGTGAATTTATTGGTGAGAAAAGTGTATGTAAGAAATGAAGATAATAAAAAGTGCAATACAACTTTTTCTAATGAGCATCTTTAAATTTTTTTTAATGCTTAATCAAGTAAATTTTTTTATTAATCGGCTTTTACGGTAAATGGTTTTTTAATTAATTTTGTTAACATCTTACAATTTAATTGATTTTCGATACAATTATAAAACAGTTATCAGTCCCCAAAAACGTCTTTAAAGCGTGATAAAATTTCTCATAATATGCTACCTAAATATAAGGTAACATCAAATATTGTAAAAGTCATTTTTTTTCTATGTATTTAAATTTTATAACTATTTAAAATGTTTCTGAACCTTTTAACTATATAATATTTATATATTTTTTAATATTTTACTTAGTTTTTTTTAAAAACATTTTCCGCTCTTGGTATTACTGATTAGACTGTACTATCACCTGTAGTTTAACTTTGACACGCCTTCCATATTTTGTGTTTAGGTTCTGTTGTTTCACCAATCATGTTTTCTTGTACAGTTTAATTTTTAGTGACAGTTCACTGATACCTTCATTTCATATAATAGATATACTGTGGACTTATAAAATGGCAAATTCAAATAATGAGAGAAATTCTGTTATATCTAATTTAAGAGCTTGTTTAATTAGTTCTCAAGGCGGAATTCGTATGGATTCATTGAACAGTAATATTTATTTATATTTTTTTATTATTATAAAGCAGTAAACTCTTATTATAGTGAAGAAAAAAATCACTTAACACTTCATAAGCATTTTTACAAGTTATGACATGTCCTAGTTTTGTCAAGTTGACACAGTTTAAAGTTCACTGTGTTTTTTTATTTTTTTAATAAAGAATTTGTATATTTTGATCTGATTAATTTAATTCACATAATAAAAACTTAAAAACATTTCCTTATTATTAAATTAAATTACTGTTGCATAACTTGTAGAAACTCAATAAAATGTTGACTTTGGTTCATCAATTGTTTTTTTAAATATAGTTCCTTATTAAATTTTATACATTTAGTGGCATAATTTTTTTTTAAAGCAGATTCATTCTTTTAATGGTATTTATTTTTTATGCATTGTGATACCAGTTGTATATTGACATCTGTAGATATGGTTCCATCCAAAACAATACCCGATTTAATATTATTTTTATTTATTGACTATGGTTTGATATATCTTATACCTTCAGACAATTATTTGATTTAGTAGATTGTTTGTTTACATACCTAATTTGATGTTTGTTGTGTGACAGGATGTCTGCATTGATATTTTCCAAAACTTGTTATATTAATGAAACAAAACGGTTGATGTGATATCAAAACATTTTCACTTTTAGATTTTGATGGCATTTTGAATTGGTTGTGAGTAATTTACATAATTTTGTTCTGGGTTCTAGTTCACAAGTGTTCTGGATGGTTGGAGAGCGGGGTGGCCGAATAGGCTAATGCATGTGCATAGCACTGACGTTGCCTGGCAACCTGATGTATGACAAATGATATAAAAATAGTCGTGGGTTCGATTCCTGGTGCCGAGCGAGTCTTTTAAATCTCCGCCCACACCCCTGGCCCTGGAAAACCCCTGTAGCCTTAACGGCAAGGAAGGGGAGGACCCAAAAAAAAAAAAAGTGTTCTGGATGGAAACTGGATAAAAATCAGTTCGATCATGCTGTACATAGTTTTTTGAAAGGACAAGGATTACAACCGCTCTCCCTAATTTCCTTAGAAATAACTATTATGGTTTATGATTATAGAATATATTTAATGATTAATTAAGAAGGATCTACCTCCACTGATGAAGACCAAGTAGTCAACATTTGGCTACTTTCCAAATTACATCTACACCTGTGAACCAGACATGACACTTGTAAACTAATTCCTACTTTTGATTTTCCAAGTAATACGTTTGGTATATTATTATGGTTTCTTAAATTGAATACATACCAGGCTGAAGAGTACAATTTTGGTGATTAGATAAAAAAATTATGGAAATTTTCAAAACTCAATCTTGTACTAAAAAATCAATTTTTTTTTATTTACAGAGGATTACATGCAAATTATTGGTGAATGTATTCCATATAAAAGATTAGGCTTCAACCAATTGGAAGAGTTTTTAAAATCTGTTCCTGAAATCAGTGTGAAACGTAGAGGAGGAGAAGTTTACATTGAAGCTAAGGAATCACAGACATCTGCTCATGTAACTAAACTTGTTTCGAAACAGAAAAAATCGGGAAGGAAAAAACCTAAAGTAGGTACCATCTACAGGATTATTTTAACATTTATTTTATTAACAATAGAAGCTATATCCTTATCAATTAATAGTCGATTGTTGATATTGGTTTTTCACCCATATCATATATTATAAGATTTAAATAGATATTTTCCATTGCATATTTAAGCGAGCTGTATTATTTATTTATTACCTTTACTATTTGGGCTGATAATTATTCTATGATTCATGCATAAAATAAATTTTAAAAAAAGCAAGTGATGATAGCTGTTATTTTATCTCTGCCAGTATTTAACTAATGATCATTAAATCTTATTCTGCCTACCATAACAAACTAAATCATGAACTTTACTTTGGATCAAGTTTGTATCGCCTGCCTAGATTTTTTATCTTGAATAATTTGTTCTTCATAAGTCTAAATCTATTGCTTAGGACAGGGGTTACCAAACTTGTGACCCTCTATCTCTTACCTTTATCTGCGATCACACTAGTAACAGTTTTACTGTTGTCTGCTGCAAATCGATAAGTTTTTAATAAAATATTGAACATTTATTTCGATAAATAATTAATTAAACATAATTATGATCGATTACTTTGAAAATAGTTATTTATTTTTCATTCATCATTATTGTTTCATGTTGTATGCTGCAGATAGACGAATTTCCAATTCAAATGTTTTACAATTTTTTTTCTTTAATATATGTATATTTAAAAATTAACAAGATTTTATAGATATAAAATTCAAAAGCATAAATAAATTATAATTTAAAAATGTGTTAATCGATTACAAAAACCCTATATAAAATTAATAACATCCATTAAACTTGGGGTTTTTCGCCTTTTCTATAAAAATATGTTTCATTAGTTTTGGAAATAATTAAGTTGTGTGTTACTGTATGTATATATTTCTTTTTATTATAAACTTCACATTGAATAAAAACTCGGGGCTCGCCATAAATGTGCCCGCTGGTGAAAAAAAGTTGGGAACCACCCCTGCCTTATGAACTTATGGTTCTTAAAAATTTGATGATTGATGGAATAAGAAGAGTGAGAGAATAATAACAAGACAACAGTTTTTATTTATGTTGTTATATATTGGAAATTTTGATTATTTGAATTTGATTTTAAAAATGTTACTGATTCGCAATGTTTTTCGCATAAATCGTTTCTCCCCTTGTTCGTCAACATTCATCCATCAAATTTCATTCATTGATTTTTTTTTTCATTTTATGTTATTAACTAAACAATGAATTTATGACATAAAGGAATTAAGAATATATACATCTCTAAATAAAATAAAATTATTTTTAGTTCAATAATTTTTTCTTCTCTTTCAAATACAAGGAAATTGTATTCTGATTAAAACAATCCAAAACTGAAAAAAAAGGATTTATTTATTTAGAATATTGTCCTACAAATAACTTTTACCACTCGTGATTGAGTGGAACACAATTAAAGTGGTGGAGTTAATCAGTATCAAATATAGGATTAAGCAGTTAAAATGAAAATTAGATAAAACAAATCAAACACTATTATTTTTCTTGCTATTATATAAAAAAGCTTTTGGTGACCGTGACATATTTTATTTTGCATGTTCTAAGCGGGACCTACCGTAACGAAGACACCAGCGGGATTGACTGTGGCGAAACACTGCCTTTCTTATTGCCAGAATAATTTCTCCCTTATCATTGTTACAAATTTTCAATAAGAATAATTATAATTACATAATAACATAAATTGGAAATAATGTGCGATGTATATTATTAGTTTTTAAAGAAATTAAAAATTTGTCCGAATTGTGGTTTCATTCCGTTTCTTTTATGTTGATTAACAATAATGTAATCTGAACTACAGAATACAGTTATACAATTTGAGCACCGAGTAGTAAAATTAAATCAAAGTTGTATAATTTGTAAAACTATTATATATTAAAATTGCATAGCCTTTTATATTGAATTAATTATCGCCATTTATGTTTTTACTTTTGCTTACCACCTATATATGAAATATATACTGAGGGAAAGTATTACAATTGTAAAAATTGTTGAATCTAAGTTTTCAACAGAAATAGACCTTTTGAGGCCCCGTTAAGCCAGTATAACTTTAAGTGCCATAAAATGGTTTGTATGTATGTATGTGAACAGTCTAGCTCAAAAAACAAAAAGTCCTATGTAACTGATATTACCTATTTAAGATAAGTATTTGGCTGGGATATTACATCAACTTTTTACTTAAAATCGGCTAATTGGAAGTGCCACTTTATATCAATGGTTATACATTTTTACAATTTTTTCAAAAATAGCTCTTAACGATTTTGATTAAACTCGGTGTATCATTTAGGTGTTATCTCCATTGATGTAACTTTACAGGGCTTAAATACCCAATGTTCAACATGTCTTCCTCTAAAGTACCTTTAATTAGTTTATTTTAAACAATTAACTATCTCTTCTCACTATGTTAAATATAACTTTTGAAAGAATTTGATATTTTAAAAATGGAGAAAAAAGGGAAAATGTTTATTTAGGTCGAAAATAAATCTCCGGAAATAATAGTCAGAATGTATACATATAATACATTGTTGGAAGCGGAGAATTTTAGAAAAAAAACAATATCTAATATAGAAGCTCGTAGTAGATAATGGAGAGTGACGAAAAATTATAAATAATAATTTGTGAAAACTAATATTATTTAATGAAAATCACATGTTTCCAAGAAAAATAAATGAAATTTTCTAACTAAATGTAAACTTTTAAAATTATTTTTAAGTTTGGTAAAAGATTATATACATCCACCGAAACAAGGCAATGGCAATGTTAAAAAATTATTTCATTGTACTTGTGTGAATGAAGAAGTGATATATAAAAATATTTCATGGATGTATGAAGCATATGTTTATAACCTTAAATACACTTATTATGATTTAATAACTCAAGATCTGATATTATATTTAAATAATTAGGTATCAGCATCCGTTAATTCCGAAAAACTACAATTCATATCAATTTACAGACATACTTTCAAATCTCTCTAGGCATATATATAGCTCAGAGACTGGAATTGTGTTGTTTACAAAATGAGATGGATTAACGAGGTTTTTGTTGCCTACCGTTTTTACAATAGGGTTTTTGTTATTTTAATGATTTGTTTGCAAGCTTTAAGCTGTTCTGTTTTTCTGTATGTTCGTTAAAAATTCACTTCATAAATTATATAATAGCCCAACATTGCCAGAAAACAACTTCTAATCAAATTAGAGCGGTAAGTGAAAGTTGTGTGTTGCTCTCACCAGATTTTTTATTTTATATTATTTTCATTACATTTACAATTTTTCACTATCCTCAGGCTTATAAGCTATGTTGGATCTTATATGTTATATTAATGAATATATCCAGATTGTTATCAACAAATAAAAACTGATTCACCCTGAATAATTTGATCATGCATATATATATTTTTTAAATTCACACTTAAAATATAGAAAATTGAATACTGTTTATAATATTTCATAACAAAGGAAAGAAAAAGAATAGTTTATTAGTTTTTCTTACCTAATTGAATTGAACTTTTTATATAACCATTCTAAATTTAAAAAATATTGATATTGTGCAACATCAGAAAATTTAAATTACTATTGAACAAAAATCTTAGAACTAAAGTTATTCTATCAAAGTAGTTTAAATAGAATAAAATAATATTGAACTTATTGTGATAGTTATAGTGAGCAATTAATAGCTCTGATAATATGACTGACCTCATTCCACTATTTTTCAGGCTAACAGAAACATTCCTCCAAGGTATTTCAGAACAGCGCCACGTTTTACGAAAAGAGTTTATAAAGCTCCTCTAATTTCATCACCTCAATATAATCCTCAGAAGCAATGTTATTTGCCTCCTCTGAAGATAAGTGTCGTAAGTTATTTAATGCTATAAGTGTCTTGAATATTATTTATTTGTTATTATGTTTTATTCATGGTCACTTTTAAGTTGGTATTTGATCCTGAATAATTAATTTTGTTCATTCAAATTCATCATCATCTTATTCTAAAACAAATGAGTGTAAATGTGAATATTTTTTTTTTTTTTTTTTTTTTTTTTTTTTTTTTTACTTTTGCATATTGATTTATTATAAACGATCTTAGAAATTGCTGATGTTTACTAACCCGTTCATAAGAAGCTTGGCAATTTATATTTTTAAATACTGGAAGACCATTATTTGTGCCCATAATTATCGGTTTGTATAATAACCTCTGTGTTTATGACTCGTTTCTATATCATTGAGTAGACTTAGTAATGGAAGTGGACCAAGTACACCCTAACCTTACCATCAATTTTGAGATAAGGTTAAGGTACTATTTCGATGGTACTGCCCACAGCAGCGATAGCTATTTCACGCTGCCAACTATTTCGTGCTCGTCTATTTTGCTGAAACCAAATCTTATCAATTTAGCATCCTAGTTTGATATAATTTTAAATAAAAATGTTAGCTTTAAATTTAATGGTTTTTATATGTCAGAGGGATAGCAATAGATTTTATGGCGGAGTTCTTATTTAATTAATACATGCCATTTTTTTCTGGTAGTTAAAGTTGAATAACAAGGTTAGGTTATGTGTGTACTATGAAATGTTAACAATTATCCACATATTAATTTCTATCTTCTACAAAATGATAGTTTCTTATAATATTTTATATTCAAAATATAAATATTCATGGTATTAATAAGATGATAAAGCATTATTTTAAGAACTGAGGATTTATCTCCGATTGTAAATTTATTACTAATTTTTCGGTTTGATAATTGGTTAGTAATAGGTATCATATATTTGTAATGAAATCACAGCAGGAAATATTTTACCGTTTTATCAATAGATAATCAGTAAATCAGAACTTTAGTTAAAAAATACAAATTGATTTTTCAATGTCTAAATTTGAATATTTACCTGAAGTTAAAGTTTTTTTTGATTATTTAGTTTATTTAATGTCATTTGGATCTAGGTATATTTGAATTTCTCTTTAAAATACTTTTGGTGGAATAAATAAACAAATAATCTGGTTACTTTAACCTTTAAAAAATGATTTATTATAGCTTTGTTTAAATTTTAAACAATATTTCATTTAATTTTGCCTGACTTCATATCTGGATTGCTGAGCAGCGCCAACAAAATAGGTAGGTTCCTTTCTATTCCACTAAAGCAGTGCTCAACTAGAAATAGTATCTTTAGCAAACCTAAAATCCCATGTATAAATGGGAACCACCTGAAGGAGGACAACACCACCCTTTTTAGGATCAGATCAAAACAGCATGATGGACTATTCTTCCATAATTTATTGCTAACCATTAACTCAAATTTCTTGTTGGTTAATAATTATCCTTCAGTTATTCCCACGCTCTTGTCATCTCAATCTTGTCCTAGCCAATCAATAAGCTCATTTTATCTTACTACACTATCACTCTGTCTTTGTAGTATGCTGTATTTTCGATGCTTCAAATACAGTACTCTGATGTGACCTCACATTTGCATTAATTTAAAGTGGCTCCCACGATCTTTAGCAAAACATCAACACTGTTCACATTCCTGTCATCTACGATCTCTTTCAATTCAAATAATCAGTCCGTATATAGCAAGAAAGATATCCGATATCCTGTTTTTTGTATTTATATCAATATATACCTTTATTGAAAGTTGGTAAAAATTTTTAGTAAATTAATGTTGAACAGTGTAAAAGCAAGCTAATCTAGTTTTGCTAATGTTTAAATTTGAAAAATCGTTTCACTAGTTCAGGGAAAATAAAATGGCTGCTCTGGAGTTTCCTCAGGGGAAAATCCCAAAGAGGGGGGAACATAGGGTTTTTTGGCAGTCAGTTGTTTGGCTGAGGTCACTTGTTGTTTGGAGTTAGAAGAGAGAGAATGTTGAGTTGAGTATTACCATTTTGAAGTTTTTTTTTTATCAGAACATTGGAAAATGTTTGAAGATAAACAAATTCAGTTGCACAAAGGAAGAAACAGTGTATATAGAAAAAAGGTTAGCTTGCTAGTTCATTCTTGACTTTATTTTAAAATTAGTGTTTACTTTTAGTATAAATAGTGTAAATAATTTTAGTCTGTTTAAGTCTTTTGATCTGATTGTCAGTAACCCATACCTGAGATAAAACAATTATAAATTTCATTTATTTTTCTTGTTTTGAATTATTATTTTCAATAATGAACCATTGTGATTGAACAAAAAATTCAAAAACTTAACCCACTCTCAAAATTTGAGGTTTTACGTTTCCGGATACATAGAATTCGAAAAACGAACAAAAATTTTTTGTCCGCCCGCTATATGTGCATTTTCTACTGGACCAATTTTTTTTTAATTTGGATTTAAAATCAGAGGTCACCCGAGGATGATCCTCCTTCATCGACATTACTATCCTATCCGCCTTTTACTTTCAAAATGGCAGCGGAAAAACCTACGTTGTTATAGACTGTAGCGCTTAAATGAATGTACTGATTTCAATGAAACTTGGCTAAATTCTTCTTCTTGATGCCCTTTAAATTTATCTATTTAATAAAATTTCCTAAATAACAAAAAAAAAAAAAAATCTTTAAAATTGGACAATTAGGAACAAGGATAGATATCGTCTCTAGATTTTATGTTCTACTGCAAATCCTTTGTTTTGGATTTTGATTTTTGAATTAATGCTACTTTTTTTTTTTTTTTTTAGCAAATTACTAATGATTAAAAAAAAAATGTTTAGGCAAATAATTGGATTTAACTTTTTATTTCTTTTAATTTGTCACTAGAAAGGTAATGCTACTTTAGATGTATAATTGTTGGGAAATAATAAACCATTGTGAAATAATTTGTAGCGTTTTTTTTTTTTCTTCTATATTGCTACAACCCCTGAAGGGTCTTGGATTTAGTAATATTTAGTGAAAGTATTGTTTCAAGACCAATCGTTGTATAGGGAGGGAATCAGGCCAGGATCACGCTTAACCACCAGGTTTTTCCCCTCAATCAATTATTTAATTTAAGCGTACCCACTTTCTAGAAGCTGGGTGTGCCCCAGGAAGCTCTCTCTATCTCTGAGTCGCCCCACAGCCAATGACAATGAAACAGAATAAATAATATTTCTGCCATGAGCCAGGATTCGTGCCTGAAACCTTGAGCATTAGAAGCTTAGTACCATACCACTGAATTACACCGCTCCCAAATTTCATCTTAATATATTAATATTCTTATAATTTTGTTTTTATATGACAACCTCTTATTTCTATTGGAAGTATCGCTACAGTATGAAGTGATCTTCCAGGAATATTTTATTATTAGTTAAATATAAGAATATATTACAATATATATATATATATATATATATATATATATATATATATATATATATCTACATACACATACCATTTCCCACAAAATTAATCCACTCGAACATTCCTTTCTTGCTTGCTCTACCACTATTGGGAATTCATTCACTCCTGATATTCATTATGCTTTTTCCATGTGCTAATTCAAATCTCTTTTTACTACACCTTTGTAATCCGGACAGATTTGCTAATCAGAGAATTTATTATTGAATATTTATTTTGAATTTATCAATATCAGATGTAAACTATTTTTTTTAATGATTGTTTATTCAATAAATGATATATTTTTTCTTTCTTTTTCGTCATTAGTAATTATGTTTTGTTATTCACACACTGAGAGGCAAAGTAGTGAGTGGGCCATCATTTGAAAAATATATTTCAGTATTCGTTATTGTTGAACTTGATATTTTTAGCATAAATTGTTGCCAAATAAAAACACAAACAAATGATTAATACTGTTTATGTTTGTTAACTTTGATCTCTAATCCACAATAATATTATTCTATTTGTTGGAACCTTGGTAACTGATTTATTAAGAAAAAGTATAAATATTGAAGAATATAGTCTTTTCACGATTTCAATTATGTTGCTGTCTCTTGGCATATATTTCTTGGTGATTATATTTATATATATTTTATATTAATTTTCTCTTTTAATTGGGCCAGAAATGATCTTTTTTTTTTCCTTCATCTTATATTATTATTCTTAAGAGGCTAATATTCATTTAGTTTTTAAAAAAGGGGAAACCAATGATAAAGATTAGACAAAAAAAATATTGTTGAAATGTTATCATATCAATAATTGACTTTTTCAAAGAAATATAGTTGTATTTCAAATAAATTGTTTTATTAAAATAAAAAAAAAAATAAAAAAATTGAAACGTTCTAGAACGTTCAAGAGGCCATGAATTGCCGTTGCAGCTGCTTTGATGATTGTTTACATGGTGGATCCAATCGTTGTTCAGTTTATATAAAGTGGTCATTACGTGGTCAATATTGAGTATATTCACGGTTCATGGGATATATTGTAACAATTATATCAACATTTGTTATATTTATACCACGTTTAAGAATATTTATTCTATAATATTTACCGTTTAAGGTAAAAACCGCACACAAGACATCATGTGGTCAAAATGGTTTCCATCAGGCAGAGGGCGGGTGATTACTTTTCTATTTTATTCTATTAAGTTAAGTTTAATTCCTACTGATCCTTCATACTCAGTGATTTTTATTGTCGATTGGAGGCCCTGCCCGTGTCTTTTTGTGATTAATTTTGTCTGTTTTCAAATTAACTTTTTGTGATAAAACCAATTTTATTTATTAATTTATAAAAATTATTTATGATAAGTGATGAGGGTGAGGGGGAGAGGAAACCTTAAATTCTATTAAAAGGATTTAGAGATTTTGTTTAGTGACTTTCCGAAGCTTTTTTCCTGATACTAAAAACACTCGCTTCATAAAGGGAACTAGTTCTTTGAATAAATTCTAACCAGATACCCCATCTCTAAAAACAACTAAACATTTTCTTAATTTTTTGATAACTTAAGTCCTGGAATAGTGAAGTATACTCCAAGTTATAATGCTATAGTTATGAGTTAGAATGCTAATCTCTGTCCAGTACCTCTGATAATACAATATAAGTTTCATAATGAAGCTTTCCTTTCACCGATCACATTAATAGTATAGTTCCTTCAAAGAATGAATGAATGAAAATAATTTTATTATTGTGGGACTAGTGTCCCTTTAGAACAACTTACAAATACAGAATATATATTAATATTTTGGTGTGTCCATAAAATACAATTTAATATTTACAGTTTGATTAAGAATACAATAACGTTATAAATAATAAAAAGATATAAATACGTGTAAATATAAAATATACAGAGAGTGTAATTAAATAAACGAAATATAGATAGATCACAAAATAATCAGAGTATCTGGGTGTAATTTGAGGTTTTTACAGCTTAGGTTTTTAAGTGCATTTCGTGATCAATCGGATTGAGAATGAGAATCCCCGTAGATCCGCCTGTGCAAATGAGCACAGTTTTTCTAAAAAGACTGTCAAAATAAAATGCATAAGTTTTGAATCTATGTCAAATATCTAGATTTATTAAACTGATATCCTTCATGAATTTACCATGAGCTTCAAAGAGAAGGGTTAATTGGTTGCTACAGTCAACTCTTGATAATTCAAGCTCTTCAGTTGACTTCGGTAAATTGAAAAAAATTCTGCATTTTGATATACTCAACTACTCGAAATTCATTTCATAACATTGGGGAAGAGAACGTTCTATAATTCGAACTAGACCACTTCTCCTCTTTATAATTTGAAATTTTCTTAGTAATATTTTTTATATGAGGCTATGTATATATAAAATTTATGTAAGCTCATGCATATTTTCAGAAATATAATACAGAATTCGTAATAATTAAAAAAAAAATTTTCTTTCTTCTTGATAATTCAAAGTTCTTAATAATTCGAAGTCTCGAATTTTGAACTAAGTACGATTGAATTTTGAATTATCGAGAGTCGACTGTATATGGTAAGTGTTGAATTAATGGAATTATTTCATCGTTATTATATTTTATGGAAATTTTATTGAATTCTATTGTAATCGAGAATCATTCTTATTCTGTAAATGATATTTTTAATAAATTATTAATAATATATTTTCTTTTTCAGCCCCAAAACAATAACACCATCAATTATAATGCTCGCATAGTTAGTGAAGTTAACCGAGCAAGTAATAAAACTAATTACCCGATGCCAGTTAATCATAATTATGTTGGAGTAATGGAAAGGCCTAGCTTGGTTTCTCAGTTTACCCCCAAGAATATGAAGTACATCCCTCCACTTCTCAGTGATAATTCTATAAAACCTGACATGACATTTCGCAATGAAGGTTTGCTTTCGCCCAAAAATTTGAGATATCCTCCTCCACTTCTATCCGATAATTCTATAAAACCCGATATGGTATTTCGCAACGAGGCTTTTATTACGCCTTCATCAAATAATTTAAATTCATTCAAGGAAAGCGTCTTTAATAGCCCGATAGATCACTCCAGCTATGGTAGTACTCCTACTCCTACACCTCCTGAAGAACCTTCCAAAAAGATTAAACAGCTAGCTCAGGATGTAAGTAATATTTTGGTTTATTTTAGCCTATTTTTGTTATTTTCATAAGTACATAACTGACATGACATGTCATTTTTTTTTTTTTATAGAGGCTCGATAAAGTAAAAAAGCATCATAAGGTAATAATTGTCTAAATTTCATTTTATAAATTTGCTCGAAATATTTATTCTCATATATATGTATTATTTTTTTTTATTTGGTAGTTATTAGTGACTGTTTCCCTACAACAAGGAGAAAGCACATCGCCATATCAAAGGCAGTTATCGGCTTATATTCAAGAAAGAGGTTGGGAAGAAGCTGCTTATAAAATTTTAAAGGAAAACAGCGGAAAGCGTGTTTGTTATTGCACTCTCTCTATTTTAATACCTAGGATGGCTCCAAATCTAGTAAATATATATACACATTTCCTGTTTTTAATCTTAATTTTATTTTTTTCTGAATTTCATTTATATACTTCATACTTTATACACTTTACATATATTTTATATTCCTATAACTATATACCAATGGCTATAGTCTCTCAGAGTAGCTTTTGGTGTCCGTACACCATATTCTTCTTTATAATTATAATACATTATTAATTAATAGCATTAACAATGTATTACATAATTTCTAATTTTCATGCAAATATTATCATATCATGCCATAACGTTTTTCTATAACTTTTTTCTGTTTCAAAAACATAAAAGATTAGAAAAGCGTTCTGTTTCGTCATCTCATATCATATCTGAAATGATTTTAGGTTAAAATTTGTGCTAATAAATAATTCAATAACATTTTATTTACTGATTTAGGAGTCCTATTCTCGGGGATGTCAGTAATTAAAATTTATATTTATAAAATACATCTGAGGGCTATTATGGTTGCGGTTACTGTGAAGAAAGTTTTGAATTTAATGAAAGATATATTCATATAGTGGACTATATATATATATATAAATATAAATATATGCTAAGGAGTAATATTCTCTACCGAGCATGGTCCATCCATTCTCATTCTATTTTTGTGTGGTTCATGAAGAATTTTATACATTCCAGTTAATTTTTATTTTTTATATTAATGTTCTGATTGCCTTTTTAACTTACTTCTTACGAGGTTTTCTTATTAGTAGAATTATTTATTTATCATAGTTAGTGGAACTCTATATATCAGTAACATTGCTTTTTAGTAAACAATTTATTTGAGGACATCAATTATTTGATTTGCTTTTCTTTTCATTTTTTTTTTTTTTTTTTAGATTACTTAGTCTATAACCAGCTTTATGATTGTTGGAAAATTAATTGATTTTCTAATATTTTATTCTCTATTCCTTTTTTTTTTTTTACAGGCTCCTGAAGTTGTAGATTGTGGCACTTTCCCTAACAATTTTTATGATGTCAACGAAGCGAAAGAATGTGTCGCCAAACAAGCCTTGGAAAAGTTGAAAAAACGGGAAATCTTCAATACTTTTCCCATCATTCAAGACCCTGCCCTGATCCTTCAAAGGGTAGAGAGGGTGAGTTAATAGTGATAATAAAATAGAATTATTCTGCTCTGCCTGCTTTGTTTTTGTTTTGATTAGTTTATTTGAAAAATATTTAATTTTAAAAAATTTTATGCTGTTAATGTTTATTTAGATGGTTAAGGAGAAGGACACAGGAAAATGGGCTTCCAGAATAGAAGATGAGCATAGAACATTATTTAAAGAAATTTTACCTCCACATTGGCTTGATGTAGTGCATGCTTCTGATCAGTTCATCGTCGAAGAACTGGCTAACTCTTCATTGCTGATTAAAGTCAAGGTAACATGCTTTGTGGCGTGGATAGATATTTAAATAGATTTAAAAAAATCCATTCTTTGATGGAAATCTGTAGTGATGCCAGTTAGTATTGTATATTCTGGCTGTAGACTTGAGACATTACAAGCTGTTTTCTTTTCTAAATTAAAAGATAAAAGGATATGAGCTTTTTTTTCCCTCAGCCATCATACTGACCTTCATGGCTTCTGATTATTTTGTACTGTCCATCAGAATATTGCTAGTAACCTTAGAGTCAGAACAATAAAACTTTAAAAAGCAAATTATGGTTTGCTAATTTTGTTCTACTGATATATAATAAAATATGTTTTGATTGAATTTATGTATTGTTTTCAACGAATATAAATAATGTTACTAAACTTAAAATTTGACTAGAACTTTCTATAGGGTCTAAGATAGATTTAATTTTAAACTAATATCACAAAACCTGGACCAAAATCATTAAGTTCTATTGTATTGTATTTCTGCTAATATTTTGTGACCATTAAGATATTTGAGAAAACTTAATAATTATGGTAATTATATTGTTTCAGGAGAATGCAGTTCCATTTCCTACAGTAGTTGACTCGACAATTCCTAAATTAGTTCTTCCAGAAGATAATACTTGGGATGTGTTTGTCACACGAGCAGTTTCAGTCACTGAAATCTGTATTAGATTTATAGGTGATGATTACAGTGTAAGACTTTTTTTTTTTTCTTATTATGCATCTTTTTAAAATGAGGAAGACATACTTTTAATATAAATAAAGTACTGTGTTTAATATAAATAGTGATATTCTGATGTTTATAAGCAAATAATATACATTGCACGTCATATCATCCTAATAAATCTATTTTTTAATAAACCAAAAATAATTAAAAACCACAATATATATACATAATTACATAGTGTTGTTCAATGAATCTTTTTTTATTACTTTCATTTACCTATATATGAAATATACAGTAAAGGAAAGTATTGCAATCATGAAAATTTTTTAATCTCATTTTTAATTAAACGGAAATACACGTTTTGAGGCCCCCTTAGTCCAAATAACCAAGTCTTGCAAAATTGTGTGTGTTATCAATCTAGCTCAAAAATAAAAAGTTTTACGAAAGTGAAAGTGCATTACGGTTTTTATATGCTTGAGGTGTTACCGAAACTTTTTCGTCAAAATCGGCTTACCAGAAATAGCACTTTATATAATCAATTGTTTGTTTGTTGTTGTTTTTGATTAAACAAATTTTTATGATTTTCTCGAAAAGAGCTCGTAATGATTTTGATTAAATTCATTATATCAGTGTAAAATTGAGCAGTTTTTAATAATATAATGTAGGTTTTATTCTCATTGATGTTATCTAACAAGGCTTAAATGGCGCTATGTTTCTATATTTGCTTCCTCTAAAGTACTTTTAATTTTTTTTATTTAAAATAATTAACCATTTCACAATTGATCTCTGATATAAAAAATAGTTTTATATAAAACCTGAAAGAATTATAATTAATTAAAGAATAAATAAGAGATCGTAACGGCGAATAGTTGTAATGGAGGAACCAAAGTTATACAAACTCCCCCTTCAAAATGCTATCCTATGTTATACAAAAGGGCTTCAAATGAGGAGACTTTAGCCTAGTTTCATCAAAATCGATACATTCGTTTAGGCGCTATAGTCTATAGCGACACAGGTTTTTCGGCCATTGTCTTGTAAAGAAAAGATGGATAGTAATGCTGAGTTACGAGGATCATCCTCAGGTGCCCTTCGTCATTGATACCGAATCTCAAAACAATCAGTATAGTAGTTTCGGGAAAAAAAGCTTTGGATGGGGGGATGGACTGATTGTTTTTTATTCCACTTTTGGATTATACGTATCTTTAAAATCAAATTTTGAAGGGAGGTTAACTTTTTTTTTATTTGGTCGATTACAAAGGTTGATTATTGAAAATAATAAACCAAAAATGTGGCTTTTACAAAATTAATTTAAATTAGTATGTATTTTAACCTTACAAATTATTTTAACCTTTGTAAGGATGTAAAGAAGAAGTACTGATCCCAAGACCCAAGAAGGTTGGGTTGTAGTGGTGCAGGTTTTATTTATTTATTTTTATTCTATAATCCTCAAATACGATTAATACTAAAATAAAAAATTTAAGAAGGAATGACTTTTATGTGAAGTTCATTTGTCTTAATAATGTATGATTAAGGTATAAAGTAATTTTTGATGTAATTTATTCAATTAGACTAATTTGTATTAGTTTAAGCATTACTTACTTTATTTTTGTTTTGTAGGGATTGTTGGACAGTTTAACTAGCGACATGGAATCATGGTATCAACAGAAAGAACATCTAGTTAATCCATTCCTTGTTGTGGGAGAGTATTACGCATCGTACTGCAACGAAAGCTGGGCAAGAGTTCTTGTCATGAAAATAAATATTGATGACATTCATGTCAAATTTATCGACCACGGTGATGATGATGTTCTTCCAAGATCGGTTTTATACAAATTGGAACCAAAGTTTATGTCCTTACCACCTCAGGTACTACATAATTATATGTTTTAATGTTATATTGTTTAAATTACTAATAATGGAAATTAAGATCTATGATTTTTCATTTGGGAATAAAATCAATAAGCCATTTTTGAAATTTTATTTTATTAAGGAAACACGCACTCCAAAGTGAAAGAAGTATACAGGATTGGATAAAAACAGTATAAGTGTTTCGACCACTGGGTTCATTTACCCTGAAGTCTCTTTAGTCACTTGCAGTTCTTTTAAAAAATTTAATAAGTCGTGAAGTTTTATTTCTGGGTCCTTTCTCAATATTTGTTTCGGGTCTGGGTAAAATCTGTAGGAGTCTTCAGCCATACACTCTGTTAGTCTGTGAAGTGCTGTTAGAATACATCCACTGTAGGAACATGATGGCCGTTCTTTCTTCTTCATCAGATATCCATGGGTGAGTTACCATCCTGAGGCGGGTACGAACTACATATTCTCTCCTTGGTGCTGTAGGTTTAAAAAAAATTAAAATAATATTTAACGAATTAGAAATATATCAAAAGATAGATTATGGGAGTATAGCTCTATATGGATATAACTATAAAATGATCCCTTGCTTACTTTGAATAATATAGGAAGAAACTTTTTGATATATTTATATTATATCGGCGCTACAACTCGGTGACTAGTCTTGGCCTCCTCCACCAGCTTCCTCGAGTCATCTCCTGCCACACCGTCTGACCATCTTAGTTTTGGTCTCCTTCTTCTTCTTGTGCCGTAGAGAGCTTCTGTCAGGATCATTCTAGGGATTGCTTCATTCTCCATCCTTGCTACATGGCCAGCCCATCTTGATCTTCCCAGCTTTATCCTCAGAATGACATCTTGATCATTAAAAGTTGAGCAAATTTCGGCATTTTTCCTTCTTCTCCAATTTCCATCAATCTGTACTCCTCCAAATATTCTTCGAAGAATTTTTCTCTCAAAGATTATGAGGTCTTGCTCAATTTTTTTTAATCGTTGTCCATGTTTCTGAAGCATAGACTGGGCGGATTAGTGTTAAATAGAGATGTAGCTTATTATGCTGGGATAGAAGGCAAGAGGTGAATTCCTTACGAAGGGCAAAGTAACATTTGTTAGCCATAAATATTCTTTTCTTGACGTCGACCTCGGGTGCATTGTCTTGTGTTACTAGTCATCCCAGATACTTAAACTGCGCTACTTTCTCAAAGTTAAAAGGGCCAATATTGATGGTCTCGCCTGGTCGAGGGTCTTCTCCTGTCGCCATATATTTAGTTTTGTCTTCATTCACTTCTAACACAAGTGCTCTGGTGGCCTCCAACAAAGCTAAAAATCCCTCTCTTACAGACTACAACGACCGCCCCATGATGTCCACATCATCCGCTTATCATTTGATTTATTTAATAAATAAAAAAAATTATTCAGATATGACTTCTATACCCTCAGTATGACATGTATACTTTTAGTGTTAGAATTACAAACAAAGGCATTTCTGTACCGAACAAAAAGGTTTTGTATTGAGTACAATAATGGATTAGTATAAGTTCAGAGATAGCTCTGTCTTATTACGCAACTATTAAACTGGAGGGATATTTTCCATCGGGACAAGCTAATCACGTATTAAGTAAAATGTTACTTTAACAGTCATGGTTCGTTAATTCTGAAGTTTTACCAGTTGTGTGCGTTAAAACTATCTTGATAATATTATGTGAATTATTGAAAGAAGTTTATCGACTGTTCTACATATCAAGGGTGATAAATATTCAGGACGCAGTCATTATGAAGTTTTTATTGGTGGCGACAATATGTATTTTTTATTTAGTACTTGAATACCTTCAGTACTCGAAACACGTCCTGATGATTACCCACATGTTTTGGTTGAAACGTCGGCACCAATAAAAACTTTATATAATGACTGCATCCTGAATATTTATCACCCATGTTAAAAAAATCACCTCACAAATATTGTTGTGTATATGAATTGAAATAAACAAAATTTCGATCCAAGCATGTATGTGGGTCACCATCAGGGCTTAAAAAAATTTAAAAATTACATTAGAAAAACAAAATGTGGAAAAAAGTATGTAAATAAGACAATACAAAAGATGGAAAGTACCCATGAGATAACATAACATAATAGTACACCAAAAAGAAAATAAATAAAAAGTGAAATCTATTAGTACTTGAAAAAAGGTAAAAATAAATTAACTAAATGACTAGTACAATTAAATAAACAAGAAGTATGCAAAAAAACAGCTGAGCTAAGAATAACTGAAGTGATTTTTTAAAGTTATCCTATATATTATTTCTAAAAGGTGTTTTTTTGTCGGTACGCCGTAACTTTGTCAATTCTTCATCCAATCCGATTGACCATTCATTTTGAAGATATTCTTCTCCTTCACATATGAAAAATAGTCCTATTCTTCCGAAATTTCTGGAAAAAAAGGTATGAAGTAAAAGAAACTTTATTCGCGAATAATCCAAAAAGTATGCTTTTTTTTTCTTTATTGTACCCATGATAATTAGAAATATTACTAAATTACCTACTAAACAAAAAAAAAAAAAAAAATCAGACAATTATTTACAAAGATACAGTCCATTAATTTTGGTGTACTTAATAATCTCTAAGGATACTGCATTTATTATTCTACTACACTTTTTTTCTTGGCTGATATATTAATTTGCAGAATATTTTGTTTAGTGAAGGAATAGCAAAACAATATGGAAATAAGTAGATCCTACGTATTATCTGAGGGAGGAATTAACTTTTTTCTTTGGTCAATTACAAATTATTTTTCTAGGGACTATTTTTAAATGATGACTATTTTTAAAGCTGACGGGGAAGATAATATTCAAAATAAAGTCATGGGATTTTATTTATTTAAAAATAGTAAGCATCAACAAAAAATGTCATTAACAAATAATAAAGTATACATCAGCAAGGGAAAAAAGGATAGTAAAAAGTAAATGCATTACCTTCAAAGAGGAAGAAATTATTAATTATACCAAATCTAATGGACTGTATCTTTGTTAATAATGGTCCGGTTTTGACAATTTCTTTTTTATTTTGTTAGGAATTCAGTAATCTTTCTAATAATCAAAGGAACAACCAGAAAAAAATGTATAATTTTAGAGTTATTTGCCAATTAATTTACTTTTCCTTCATAACTTTTTTTCCAGATATTTCAGGGGGATATGACTATTGTTCGTACGTGAACGAAAAGTTCTTCAAAATAAAGTGTCAATCATTGGATTTGATAAAGATAGGGCGTACTGACAAAAAAAAAAACACCTTTTAGAAATAAATAATAAACAAAGATTACCTTAACAATTATCAATGATTACTGCCTAAAATAACAACAAGAACTGAAAGTAGTACGATATGGATTTGGGAGAGATGAGATGAGTTAAAAAGGGAGGAAGGTGTAGGTACGGATGGCTATTTAACAGAAAATATTAAAATATGGGTTTCTTAACTAAAGTTATGAATTGGTTAAGAATTTAATAATACATACATTTGTAAGTAGGTGAGTAAAGAAAAAAAAAACCTGGTTCGTTGCAACTAAGCTAACTGATAAATCACAAATAGATAATAATCTTAAATTATGTTTAACTTTAATTGAGATGATTTTATTAATTAATCTATAGATCTAATATTAATATACATTAATCAGGCCTAAAACTATATAATATTGGAGTAAGAAGAGAAAATATTAGAGTAAATTGATGAAATTATCTTGTTATCTAATTTTTTTGTTTAGTGAGTTTTTTTTTTGGTTTTTTTTTTTTCCAGATGGATTAATATTGATTCGTAACATTTTTCAAGGTTAGAAACGAAGTTAAAGGATTAGTTAAAATATATGGAACGTTCTTATAATTTTGAGCAAACGGGTTCCCTATAGAAATGCTATTAATATTATATTTATATTTGTGTTGATTTATATAGGCTTTTTAAGGTAATTTTTGGTCTCTCCAATATAATAGGAGTTATGATTAAGTGTGGAACATGGGATATAATAAATTAAATTGGATTATTGTAGGAGTGGTAAGTGATCTTTTGGGTAGCTATATAGGGTTATTAGTTTGTGGTTATTTTTTAAAAATAGGGCATATATTAGGAAAACTAGAAGAAAAGAATTTTTTAATTTTGTGGGACAGAGTAGAGATGTATGAAATTGATCTATATTGCAAAGATGTAGGAGGGGTTGTGAAGAGACTAGGCTTTCAAGCAACTACTTATTTAAGATATAATAAGGATGTCAGAGAAATCATTAGATTTTAATGATGTAGAGATGGTTGACCGTTGATATAATTTGAGAAGGAGTTAGTCGAGGGTGCGGTCAAATAAATAATAAATTAAAATATATTAATTATTTTAATTTTTGCCGACGTTTCGACCCACTTTGCAGGTCGTCTTCAGGGCTACAAAAAATACATAACATATTGAAAATAAAAAATAAATATAAGTATATATAAAATAAGAAGAAGTTTTATTTCTGTATCTGACAACTTCTTCTTATTTTATATATATTTATATTTATTTTTTATTTTCAATATGTTTTGTATCTTTTGTAGCCCTGAAGACGACCTGCAAAGTGGGTCGAAACGTCGGCAAAAATTAAAATAATTAATATATTTTAATTTATTATTTATTTGACCGCACCCTCGACTAACTCCTTCTCACATTAGATTTTAAATTTTGTATAAAAGGCTTTTGTTTTGTTGTGATTATATTATTAAAAAAATATTTTCCAGGCCATCACTGTCTCACTGAAAAACTTGGAAAGCTATAAAAATTGTAAAGAAGCTCCAGATTATTTGTTGACAAACATTGTCGGCTCGTGTCTTGTTGCTGTTGTTGAACAAAGAACGCCTACAATTTCTGTTACGTTGTTTGACACCAGTCAAGAAGAAGCTCTAAATTTGAATGAGAAGCTGAAATATTTATTCAATTATAACTACAAAGAAAAAGTAAACATTGAAGTAAGCCAGAAATTTTAAATTTTGTAATTAGTTAAGAAAAAAAATAACGTAAAGCTTTTTTAGTTACTTGTTTATTTCAATAATTTTTATTATTTAATCTACTTTTCTTTCCTTTTTTTTTAATCTTTTCTTCATTTAAATTTTATAAAAACCCCAATTATTTTTGACCAGTGTTCTTATATATTATGTCTGAAATATATATCCTTTTTCAGTGATGAATTTTCTAATTTTATACCTGGACTTAAAAAAAGTGAACGTAAAAGCGGGAGATTTCAAGCCATATGATGGTGCCAACAAATCGAGACAACAAATGAATTCATAATTTGCGAATAACTTGAAAAGTTCCCAATTTTTGGTCCATTATACATATGAGTATTTGAACACTCGCTAAATTCCCTTCAAAACGTTAAAAAAAAAAAAAAAAAAATCATCGAAATCAGTAACAGTTATGTCCGATAAAATATTTTCTTTTTCATTTATTTTCGGTTCATGTTACTCAGGAGAGCTCTATTACATCAAATTTATATTTGGCATATAGCTATAGTATGAGTAAAATTTTGAAATGGAATAATTTTTACCGAGCCGACGAATCGATATCGGACAATTTGGTGCAGAGTATGAAAATGGATCTTCCCAGAAGTTATGAGTCGGTCAATCCAATCAGCCTACTTGGATACGCGGAAGCGACAGGATTAACATTTAATTAAAACGACCAACCCGAAATTGGCGCACAATGGACCCATTAGGGGTTGACGTGCACATGGCCAACACGAAAAAAAAAAAAAAAAATATATAGCGTTCTGAACATTTAGTATTTGTTGTACTGCAAAGTTTCTGTTGTATGTGTGAATTTAAGATTTTGGGAATTGCCCCTTTTTTTTTCTGGGGTACACTAGATAATGTATCAATTAGTAATTATTTTTTAAATTTAAAAACACATTTTATTCTTTTCAATTAATTAAATTGTTGATTTTGTTTTTATTTATATAAATGTGTCTTCCTTTAAACACTTTTTGAAATGTTTGTTAATCTGCCTCAATTATATTAGTTCCTACTTTTAGATCTTTATTATTGAAATTTATCATTTTAAAAATAACTTTCTTTTTTTTTAATGTTTAAGTTACACACGTCCTGATTGGACTAACGGTACTACTTCACTAGCAGGCCGGGTTGAATCCTCACTTCTTATCTATGTTATCTAACGTCACGTCACATAACCTCCCTCTTCTTATCTCGCCAAACCTTTCAGTATTACATTGTTTATTTTTCAGTTATTCCCTTATTACGTTCACTTATTAAATTCTTTATTTTTGCTCCGTTTGTGTTTATTTTTCATTTTATTTATTGTCATTTTTCATTATTTTTATTGTCATTTACCATCAAAATAAATGACAGAAAGGCAACAACCTTATTACAAGCAGTTAAAGACAATATAGAAGAGGGAACGAACATTTATTCGGACTGTTGAAAAGGATACAACACCCGACAACTGAACGAAGCAAACTATAATTTTGTCGATCCATCAACTGGGGTTCATACTCAACAAATAGAACGATTGTGGGGCTCAGCTAAATGGAGAAATAAAATACATAGAGGAACTGCCAGACAAAACCTCGATTCATATTTATGTGAATTTTTGTGGCGGCGGGTTCACAAAGAAGAGGACCCGTTCCTCACTATTTTAAATAGCATAAAACTATTTTGCGTCCCAAAATAAATAAGACGAAGTGAAACGTTTATAGTGTTGATATTTTTTCTTTTATAAGTACATATGTTATTTAAGTGTTTTTTTATTATTTCATTTTGATCTTTTATATGTACATATCTTCTTTAAGTGTTTTTTTATTATTTCATTCATATATGTGTCTTAAGATAAAAGTTTTTTTTTTTTTGTTGTTACATTGGTTTTTGTTTCTGTTTAAACTTTCAATTATACTGATATAATAGAATAATACGAAGATAGGCATTATGAGAAGGCTTATCACTGGCTTATCGGAATTATCAGTGTACAGGTTATAAACATCGGCAGATAGCAGTCAGTCCCGGCCTGAAGAAGTACCGGACTAACTATGCCTCCCTGAGAGTTTCAGCTTTTTTAATTTATGATAATCTAATGAAGGAAAAAATTACATATTTAAATTATAAGTTTAACTTCAAACATAATAAAAGATTTAGAAATGAAATGGTTAAAACCATGACAGATTGTAAATGATATTTATAAACTGATGGCTTACAAAATATATCTATTAAAATAAAATAATAATATTGAGGAGTATTCGCACAAGTCAGCTGGTATGGTATAAATGTTCAATTAAGTACCTTTGATATTTAATAAATTGCTAATTAATATATATTTCATTGAGTATTTTTTTTTTAAATTGAATCTTTTATTTTGTTGGTTTTATTAAAAATGGCCATTATAATTTTCATCAACTTTGCTTTGGTTCAGTAATTTTGGGAAGAAAACCTTATTGTGTTTCAAACTCATAAAAATCGTTGATGAAAATATGCTTAAGAAAGTTTGTAAAATTACTGCAAACATGAATGTATTGATTTAAATGTGGTTGTTTTGTTTATATATAAACTGACAAAAAACTGAAAACTTCGTCTTAAGGTAATATATTGAAATATAAAGAAAACTTTAAATTTTATTTGAGTATTGTCGCCCAATCAATTGGCTCGATATTGATTGTCTATAGCTATGTCATATCGTATTTTGTTTTAAAGTCTTGGGATCCTTTATAACTCTGAACCAACTCTAATGTTTCATCGAAAAAAAGATACATCTAAATCAGAACCGTCGCTAAGATGTTTATAGAAAGAAGTGTTTTTAAATAAAGAATAAGGAAAGAAAGGCATTTTTAAATGAGATTAGAAGTATCATTTGTTTGTTTCTATTTCTTAATATCATTTACTATAGAATAGAAAATTAAACTTTATTTATAGACTATACTTAGTCTTAACAAATTTTTTACAGGAAGATGGTATACATCAAGCATCTGTTAGCTTTATTGATGAAAATGGAACTGTTTACATTCAGTTCGTTAGTGAAACAATTAATATACTACTTAATCAAATGGAATATATTGAAGATGGAACTTATGAAAAATATCGTGTAAAAGATTATAGCCAGCTTTTTCCAGATAAATTATATCTTTTAGACCAGCAAAACAGTGAAAAACATCGAGTCAAAATTATTAATGCTACAAGTTTAAATGGGCAGGTATATATCTATTCCATTAAACTTTTTTTCTTTCTGTAGTTTACCTTTTTTTTTTTTTCATTCTCCCAAACATGAGTAGGATCTCTTACATATAATAGTTCGTATATATATATATATATATATATATATATATATATATATATATATATATATATGTGTTTGTATTATAAATTGATTGCAGATTATGTTTATAATTTTTTTGTTATTTACTGAAACTGTTTTTGCAGGTGTTAGTAAACTTTATTGATTCCGGTGGTGAAGAATCGGTGTTTGTTGAAGATCTGTATAATTTAGAAGAAATATCATATCTTCTGTCACAAATTCCTGCTCAGGTAAATTTTTTATGGTTATATTTGAGTCGGAATTTTGAAGGCATTTTTTTTTTTAATTTTTATATGATTCCATTATAGTAAAATTTCAAGTTTTTTTTACATTATTATTAAATAATCTTTATTCGTTCCATTTTTTAGTAATGATTGTTATCAAATATCATTAGATGTTAATAAATGTAGAAATATTAATTAATTTCCTATTTGTTTTTGTTTAAAAAATATGTTTTTCTTATTTAATATTTTTTACTTTCACTTACCTCCTATATATGCAACATATAGTAAGGGAAAGTATTGCGATTATGAAAATTTTCGAATCCCAGATTCCAATGGAAATACACGTTTGAGGTATACGTAAATTAGGCATACGTCGTCCATTTACTAAAAAAAAACTTTATGAAATAACATTATACACTTACAATTAGTGTTACGACTTATCCATGCTATATTTAGAGACAAATAACTTTTCTAGTCATATCATTCAGGTTCGGTGCCATTTTCTTAAGTTTTTTATAAAATAAATGGCCAAAGGTCACCAAATGTACTCAGTTTTTAGATCCTGTATTATTTATTCGACGTTTCGGTTTCAGGAGCCATTTTCAAGATCCTGCAAACTAAATTTAATTCAGTTTTTATAGTTCAAAATACATCCTTATTAGACACATATTAATTTAACAGTGATCCGTTTTATAAATAATCCGAATTCTCTTTTATAAAAAATTTTTATCATCTACCTATATATATATATATATATATATAAAGAATTTAAATACATCTAAAAAGTGATAGAGATTTAATTCCTATAATTTATATTGTGCAGTATTACCTTACTTATACATAATTAAATACATGTACATTCAAATCTCTCTTTGTCTATAAAGCTCAGAGACTGTAGTTACGTGATTCAAATAGATCTATGCAGTTATAAGATTTTTATTTCCTATAATGGATATAATAAATAGAGTTTATGTTATTTTGATGGTCTTTCAAAAGATATTTTGAATATCTTTCAAAATCAAAAATATATTGTTCAAGATTTAGCTCCATTAAAAATGCGCTTCAAAAACTTTTTATAATAGCCCAATTTTGCCAGACAAGAATTTCTTTTATAAGCAGAGCAGTAAGTGAAAGAATATTTTTTTGATTTTCACACATATTAAACTCAGATAATATGAATTATATGTTCTAAAAATTCATGCTATATATATATATATTACAATGTTTTTTTATAATTCGACCTTTATATATTATTACTTATATAAGTAGCTTGATGTCTTTGTGGCGGTACTGTTGGGTCTGTCGGCGTGCTGCCCGGTTTGCGAGTATCGATGCTCAATTAGAAAACTGAAGAGGATCCCATTATTTATGTTGAAAAACCAGGGATTAAAACGTTTTTGATTAAGTGGAATAAACAGAAGCTGTTTTAAGTCATTTAAGTGTATTTCATGACCTATTATCTGACTATAATTCATATCTTAAGTTATATATATATATATATATATATATATATATATATAAACAGATATTTTAAAAAATCTTTTGAGTTAATCCAATATAAGTAACAATTTAAACTTGTTAAATAGTGATATATATATATTCAATTGAATACTTATATATAATATATTACTATTTAACAAGTTTAAATTGTTACTTTTATTGGATTAACTCAAAAGATTTCTTGAAATATTTGTATTTATCATATAAAAGAAATATAAGGTGTGCAAATACAATTTGCTATATATATATAAATATATATATATTTTAAGTTTCACTTAATAATACTTTTAGGCTGTTGCTGTTAAACTTCACGAAGTCACACCTGAAGCTTTTACACCGGAAAGAATGTCACGACTTAAGGAATTATTGTTAGGTGAATCCGTTGTAGCAAAAATAAGAAAAATCGAGGATGGTATTCCAGTCGTTGAGTTGTTCAAAAGAACTGTGCCTGAAAATTTGATGGCTTCCATTAATCAAACGTTGATTCTTGATAGTACACTGTGAGTGTTTAATGATAAAAACTACACCAATTATTCTATTTCATAACAACCTTTTAATCTTTTTGTATTTTAGGAAAAATGTTGTCAACAAACTGGAACAGTTTTCTTTTAAATCGACCCCAAAGACTGAAAAATGTGTTCAGAAGAACATTCTGCAGCAAATTAGTAACAATTTTCCAAGCGGTAGTATAGGTAATTTATAATGGTTCATCAATCGTCGGATTGAACTTTATTTGCTTTTTTACTAATTTAAGAATAGGTTCTCATCAGATATTGACGCATGTAAGGATATTTCCTTAGCATTGTGTAGAGACTAGAGACTTATTGAAATAATTGTAGTGCTATATTTATAATGTTGGATAATTATTAAAATCAGTTTAATTCAGGCTCTAGGAATTAGCTTCTTTTATTGACGTCAGCTTGCTTATTCTGAATTTCTTATCCAAAGCGTTAACCAGTTCACTAATCAGTAATTTAAAAATGAACCCTGTTAATTAAAGGCCTAGATCTTAGAGTAAAATAGCTGTCAATTGTAGTGATTGAACAAATGATATCACACTACTTGAAATTATTATTTTATTATATCTTAAAATATAATGCTTAGTTTTTTCATCAATTTGAAGCAGAGAAACCATAAACATACTGAGTCTGTATTTGAGGGAAAATGAGTTAGACATTGGAAACTGCCTTTTTCTGATCTTTTAATATATATTTAATGTAATAAATGCACTTAGTTCTTCAAGTTTTTGCTTATTTTCATGGTAATAAGTCCAAAGAAGAATAATGAGTTAATATTAATTTATGTGTGATTTCCAGAACGAAGAATAGCCGAGAATCGACCTGTTTTACCAGAAGTTGGTGAAGAGTTTCAAATATTAGTTCAACAAACTGCAAATCCTTCATTTATCATGGTAAAACTTAGCTTTTTGTTTAAGAGTTATCTTTTATGTTGTAGCATAGTTATTTTTCTCAATTTCAATAGGATTCTTTATTAATTACCTATCATTTATCACATCCTATCTTCATACATAGTTTTCATATTTAGTTTAGAAAAATCAAAATCTTGTCATAAATCGGTATTGTGTAGGAGCCTATGTTCTTTTCATCAGTTAACATGTATGTTACAATTTGAAACTTGCAGAGTATCCTATTATTGATCACAATAAGTTCACATAATAGTGATATGTAAGTAAGAATACAGTAAAACTTCTCTGTAGCCGACACCTACGGAGAATCAAATTTTATCTGCTGTAAAGAGATGTCCGTTTTAGAGAAACTGGAAGAAAAACATGGTAACAAAATAAAAAATTAACGGTTTAAAATTATATTGTATAAGTCATATAAATGAAATAGTTCATTAATTTTAAAAACATTTTTATTTTTAAATGTATAATCAATACATATAGTAAGTGGACATAATAATTCTACAAAGCCAATAATTATTTTTTCGAAAATTATTTATTTTTTATTACATTTTTCTATTCAAAGTGTGCATTAAAACATGAGAAAATCAATTTTAAAAAATTACCGATCTTGATAACTTTGTGGGGGAAAGAGGGGGAGAGGTGTGACATAAATGTCACTCTAGGCTCTTGGACTAGTGATTGGTAAAACTGTTTAACATCAGTAGCAGTCGCAACAGTTTCTGCTACTTTAAAAAAAATAGATATGACTGTTTCGAAATTTGACCAGCAAAAAAAAATAATAATATTTATAGAGTGAAGTATCTTCAGAACAATTATTAATTTAAATGTTAAATTTAATCATACCTTTTTAATTTTGACATAATATATCAACTCTGGAATGGAAAAAAAGTATTTATAATTGCTGATAAAAGTCAAAGGGACATTAAAATTATAATTTTGAATTATAACATTTTTTAAAGGAGCATTTTATATTAATTTATTAGTGAAAATAATGAACAAATAGAACTAAACTGTTTTTGTATTTGTTGCAAGAAGCTGTTTAAATTAGATAGCTTTCTCTATCTGTTTAAAAAAACTGTTTATTTATCAGTTGCAAGAAGCTGTTTAAATGAAACAGGTTTCGGTATCTGTTTAAATTAAACAGCTTCTGAAGCTATTTCGGAAAGCTGTTTAAATTAAACAGATGCAGTGTTTCCTTCTTTTTCCATTGGGATCACTGTCTCCAGTTACTATTCTCCTAACCTGTAAAGTGAGTTGTCTTTGGGTAGGTTCCTAAACTCAGCACTGAGTTCATCAATGGCTTCGTTTTGCTGCATTTAGAGATCTATTCGATGGCATCGATGAGCTGAGCGCTGATTTTAACAACTTGCCTCCACCTAATGGAAGGTAATCCTTGTATCTGTTTAATCTCGAGTGAAAGTTTAGTGAAAGAAACTGTTTAAACTAAACAGATTGCTACTAAACACCCCAGCAATATCTTGAGGTACTGTTTTTTTTTTGTTTTTTTATTTGACTTTGATAGATTTTCATAAGGATAGTTACAATAAATGACATAATAAGTTTAAATAATTTTGTTGAATAAATATTTTAAAAATATATTTTATTTATAATAGTGTAGAGATGGTTGACTGTGATGAGAATATGAGAAGGAGTTGGTCGGGAGTTGTGGTCAAATGAATACTATATTTCAAAATAGTATTGATTTGACCACACCCCCTGACCAACTCCTCATATTTTATTTACTTTTTTATGATAAGAATTAAAAACCATTTCATGCACCATCCTATCTTACATTTGCCACAAAAAGTATTTAGTGTACTTATATATATTGGAATTGCGAATCGCTTGTGCTTGAAAATTTTTCAACAAAATGATCCATTCGATCATAGCGAATATCAGTTGAAACGGGTTAAGATCTGGGTTCAGAAGATTTACATGACCTTTGTGACTTAACAGTTTTTGATAACTTGAATGTCCAGCTTGCCTGTATCTGTATATGAGTTACATATAAGTTCATAGTAGCATCAATTAGCCATTTAAATAATGGCCACCACTATTTTTTCCCACAAATCCTGATCATTCTTTGACTGATGTCCTCATCACATTCCATACATACAATTTATTATATTCATCTATCAATATCGGCTGATGTAGGTTAAGGTTGTCAAGGAGTCTTCCCTTGTCTTCATCAGAGCTGCCTTCATCGATAAGAATATTTGATTTAGGCGGAACAAGGAATATATCAGTCTCTTCTTGAACATAACTTTGTATAGAATCTTCATTTTCTTCAAGTGTGAGATCACCCACGAATAGAAATTGTTTTCTATAAAATAAAACTTCTCCTCTAAAATAAATTATTTGTTAAAATTATATTTTAAAATATATTTCTTGATAAAAATCAGACTGTATAAAATTATACTATAATAATGATTTCAATAAATTTTAAGTTCAATTCGCATTATTATTTATATAATCTCACCCATTTGCTATGATTTATTTATTTTAGATTTGTCTTTTATTTTTCATAAAATAATTCTCTTAATCGTTCCTAAATATAAATAAGCAAATATCTATTGTTTTCCGTGTGATCGCAAATAGATTCAAAACAAGAAAAGAAAATTTCTTCAAAATGATGTACATAATTTCAGAATATTGCAAACACGTAAAAAAACATTGTTTATTTTTACCAGCAATAGAATGTAATTTTCTAATTTTGAAAAAATAAAATAAAATAAATATGTGTCGAGGTAGGTAAGTAGGAGTGATCACAGAAGGTCTTAATAGCGTGATCAGTTAGGAAAATGATTCAATAAATGAGGAGGAAGCTTGGAAAGGATGACCTAAAGTGTCGGGGGGGAGGGGGAGGGGGTTGACTACCCAAATCACTCTCGGTCTGCGAGCTAAGGGATGAGTCTCCATCCAGACTTTGTGACTTTGTGGGAGGAAGAAATAACAACGAAGAGAGAAGCCTACAGACTTGGTTTATAGGTCTACAAGTAGATGGATGAGCATCCTTACCTTGTATGGAAGAGAGAGAAGGAGACAGAGTTAAATAAACATGAATATAAAGTAAGGTCCTTTATAATAAGGTTCCAAAAACATATATATAAAATATACTCATCAATTATAGAGGTGGTGAACGTCATTCCAGATACAGAGCTGAGGGAATGAGACCTTTAAGTAAAACATGGGTAACAAAAGTCGTACCTGTTTAGACTAATTGTGTTATAACTAGAAACCTTTATTGTATGGAAATAATGATCACTGGTACACATATACAGTACTGGTCAAAAGTTTAAACTCACTCTTATATTTGTAAAAAAAAATAAATAACAAAATTTTGATGTCTCAATTAATAACAAATCAGCTTTATTTTGATAAATACAAGTACAATTATTACACAAGAACTATTACTTTATTTAAAATTTATGAATATTGTCCAATTTTTGATTCCTCATTATATCCCTCTTTTGCTTTAATCAGAGCGGTGCATATTTTTATCATTCTTTCTATTATTTTTGCCAAGTTCTAGTTTAGATCTGGTTCACGTAACTCTGTGGAATTTCCCAACGTTTGTTTTAATTGGTACATTGTATCTTCCGAACGTTTCTGTCAAGTTCATCCCACAACAATTTAATGGAATTGAGGTTTCCACGCCATAAATTTAAGTACCACCTCCCAAAACCCTATAATGAACTTATATATGTTCATAATTATGTTTTTGAATAGTTTTCCTTCTACCCGGTTTATTTGACATATCAAACAAAAATTGGTTAATTGAAATGATAAACAAATTGATAAAAGAAATTTCTAATTGTAAAAAAAAATTGTTGAGCACTTACGAATGAGTAATGAAGCTTGGAGGATCAGCGAGAATATTTTGCCGCTGCGCTATCTCTCTTCCCATCTACTCACCCGCAAACACATCTTAGATCCAATATATTATACATTGATTTACCATACGACGAACAAACTGCCTACGTTCCACTACTTCTACGTCTACTTCCAAAAAGTTCAAATTTTAAATCTTCAGTGAACAATATTTTCGATCACTGTTCTACAATCTAGTTTCTATGATTTTTAGCCCATTGTAATCGTTAAGGTTTGTTTTGTTTTCTTAAGAAAGATTTTCTAGTAGCTACGTAGCCTTTTAAACCATAATAATGGAGTTGACCTTGCACAGTACTGATGGACACAGGCTTTTGTCTAACAGCATTCATGCCTTTGTGAATCTCTGGTGCTGTCCGAGTCTGCTGAACCCAGATGAACTTGTCCTAACGTTTGTTACTCTAGTTCTCTCAGATCGTTGGTGGCTCTTATTCTGCTCAGTTTCTTTCTTTCTCTTCATCGTTCTTGTCACAGCAAGAAATTTTTTTAATCAAAATACCTTCCCTATGTAATGTAACAATAATAGCACGTGTTTCAACACTCACTTCTGGTTTTATACACATATTTCTATAATAAACTCAGTAAAAAAAATTTTTAATGTTTGTTTTTAATATTTACCGGCTATTCTAAATTTAAATTAATTAATTAAAACTTTATAATCAATTATTTTAATATATGTTATGTACATGAACTCACCTTAGAATGAATCTCAGAAAATAAATAGTAAATGTAGTGCAAATTAATGGAACTGTTATTAAATGCAATTTCCTTTAAATGGGCACACTGTTATTAGTTCACCAGATCAATCACTAAATAAAGATATCCTGAAGGAACAGTAAACAGTTTTAAGTTGAAAGAGGATTAGTAAGATGTTTATGTTTGATATTTTATCTCTTGAGTTAGAATTATTTTATAAATCTTGAAGATTATGGATTAAATTCAAGTGACTCTTTTACCTTTTCGACTGTTACTGTACAAATAATTAAATTAATTTTTACAATATGTTAAAAAAAAAAATAAAATAAAAATATAATTTTTCTTCAAATGTATATATATGTGGGTGTTCACCAGTGGAGTAGTCTTGTGTGAACTAGCCCCATAATTAATGTTATAATTTTATACAAATTCGAATCCGAAAAATTTGAAAAGGTAGTTCCAAGTTCGAGATTGGCATGGAGTTTAGTCCTAAGTTATGCAGCTAAATATTTTTTATCAAACCTAAAAAAATTTATGTTTTAACTATAGAATTTGATGGATCTAAAATATGAATAATTAAACTGAAAAGAAGTTAGTTTTTTGGGTGTTCAGTCACAAGTAAAGTAAAAATAACACAGCTGACTGTCAACGTCCTCTGCAGGTATAGTAGGTATACGTTCCGGTATTTCACCCTCAACCATAAAGAAAAAGAATGTGGAATGGAAAGATTGGATTCGTTTTGCTGTGACTTTAACGTCACTCTAGTCTTTGGAGGGTTAAATGTAAACTTTTATATAAGAAGAACTAAAATTAAAATTATCTAAATTAATAATCTGTAATATTTACATGGAACTTTTTGGTGTCTGACGTTTTGCTTTCCAAGTTTACTTGGATAATTCACTGAAGTACTCCACAATGAAATTTTTTTTCAGTCTAATAATTTCTGATAGAACCTATTCTGTCTTCATAATTGTGGGTTGATGGTTGGGGTGATCAGTGAGAAATAAAAAGGCAAAGTAAATAATAGTATTTATTTTAACATTTGCCGACGTTTCGACCTGAAGTTCAGTCCTTCATCAGGGCTAAGAAAGTTCATGTTATTGTCATTATTCAATCCACTTCATTTTACTTTAATTTGTTACCTACATTGTTTATGTTTCCCATACCTTGTTATCTGGTTCTTTTCTTAGCCCTGATGAAGTCTTGAAGTTCAGGTTGAAATGTCGGCAAATGTTAAAATAAATATTATTTATTTTGCCTTTTTATTTCTTACTGATCATCCCAACCACCCTTCTCTTCACTATTCCGTTTTCATTGAGGATTCGGCTAATTTTTTTATATTTACATACTAATTTATGTTTGGCATTTAATTGAATTATTTTGCAATGTGTTGGTGAACTAAATGTACTTCAAAGACTCAAATACCTTGAAAATGTATTATTAGCTCACAAGTGCAGGGCGAGCCTATGTTATCATTCAAATGTTACCACATTAAAGTCATCTATGGGAAAACCTGAAGTTTTAGGAATTTTTTTTTTTCTTTAAAATGTCTCATACCTATGTTTATCCAATTTTGTAGTGTGCTTCTAAATTTTGAATACTGAGCTTTCATGTATACTCATTTTTGACTAATTTTTTCATTGAACTAAACCTTAAGTGAGTTGACATGTTAGCAATCGAATCTGTGTAGAAATAACAAAAAAAAGGTTAAAACTGTGATTCTTATTTCAAAACAAAATTTCTGATATACATAATTAAACTTACACTACTATAAATTAGACAAATGTTATCAGAATATGAGCCTTACTATCTGTTATGGAGAAATTTTTCAATCAAAATCCTTGCTTCAAGCCTGGAATTTCCACATCCGTTATGCAGAATTTATTTATACTGTGAAAGTATTGACATTTTTATTATTATACGTAAAAGTTTGTATATTATAATGATTATAATTTTTTTATATAAAGCCTTCAGTATTGTGGATTTTAATATTAAAAATTCAGATATTGTACCAATTATATAAGATTATTATTAATAAATATCAGTAATGTCCTATTGCAACTATTTCATTGATCTGGAATTTTTATTAATTTGAGCCAGAAAATTTGAATAAGTCCGGAAATTTCAGATAGAAAGTTTTCTTTTGTTGGTAGCACTTGATATTTAATTGCAATTTTTCGCTATAATTGCTTTAGAGATAAAATTTATGATTAACTTATATTTAAATTAGTGTGTTACCATTTAGTGATTGCTTGCATTATTCATTAATTGTATTTACTGTTTAGATTCAGCCTTTGGATTATGTCAACGTTATCCACAATCTTGAGAAGGAAATGTGCGAATTTTATAATAATCTAAAATCTGGCTTGGACTCAAATATCATGGAAGGAGGGCTGTGTGCTGTGAGGGACAAGAACTGTTGGTATCGGTACGTGATCTTTTTATTGATTCTTTATTCATTTCATAGATTTTTAGTGAAGAGAAAAGCTTCCGTAAAGTATTTCATTATTGCCATTATTTATATAAGTAAATTAACTTAGTGAATTTTACATTATTTATATCGCTTCCGCCATCTCCTACCCATGTCCACACGTAGACTCTTAGTATCCGCCATCATCTTCCCCCACCTTGACTACGGCTGCGTAGTGTACGGTGGCCTCTCATCGGAACTTGGAGACAGATTGAAAAGAATTATGAATGGCTTAGTAAGATTTGTCAATGGAACCCCAAGACGTTCTCGTGTGTCTCACTACTACGCCGAGTTAGGGTGGCTCTTCCTCTCCTTCAGAAGACAATATTTCCTAGGTACATTCCTTTACCAAATAATCCATAATCATCGTCCATCCTACGCATTCAATCTCCTTCAATTCAAGTCATCTATCCACTCCCTCTCCACAAGATCTCGTCCTTCTGGTCTTTATACCTCTTTCCACAAATCTGCCTCCTTTCAACACTCCTTTATTGTCCGCTCCACTATCTTTCGGAATTCTATCCCACTTAAAATCCGCCATGCACCATCCCTATCCATATTTAAAACCCTCCTATTCCAATTCCTCCTTACAATTCAATCAGACGCTGGGTAGCCATTTAACATGTAAAAAATGCATTTTTCTCTATTTATCATTTGTATATAAATATATATTCTTTTTTGAGCATGGAAAAGATGTCTAGTCATGTTCTTTAATGTAAATGTAATAAGGTAAATACTTTTGCTATCACTTAGTTTTTAGTTGTTTTTTTTTTATTGTAATATGTATTTTGGCCAGATGGAATGTTAATTTTTATGTACAAAATTGTTATTCTTAAGGGAATTTGTCCCAGAATAAAGTTGATTCTTCTATTCTATTCTATTTCTTATAAATTATCAACAGCTACTACTGTTTTGAAACAGTAATGTTTTGTTCAGTATATTTCATAGTTACAATGCATCATAGTCTTTTCACCATAAACATCTTAAATTAATAAATAATCATCCAGTAGTCTGATAGATAAATAGAAATAAATTATTTATGTTATTCGCCTAATTTGTGTTTTTCAAATTTTCAGGGCCCATGTTGACAAAATTATAGACAGTGAGAGTGTGTCAGTAAAACTTCTTGATTATGGAAGTGTATCGTTAGTATTAAATACTGACGTAAAACCGTTAAAAGACAATTTTACCAAAGTACCATATGTTGGATTTTCTTGCAAAATTTCGGGTAAGATTATTTTCCTTTTTTAATTTATATTAATGTTATTTATTTAACTAAAAAAATGTAACACTATGTACCAATTACATTGGAATTAGTCAATTATTTTATTATAATATTTGCGTATGTGGGAATGTATGGCAATTACCACATAAATCATACCATCATTTCATTACAAACTGTCAACGGACATACTGTAAACATATTTTGTACATTTCCTGAATCTTTTGTCACAATTAATTTTTTATTTAAAATTAACTGTCTAGGTATTGCTGCAAAACATGGAGATTGGAGTGTAGAAGACTGTTTACAAACAAGAGTTCTCATTGACCATAAGAAACTTCTTGCTCAAATAAAAGGAGTTCACCTGAGTCAATCGAGTCTTGGCGGAATTATTTTAGAACTGCAGCTATTCGACCTAAATAACATGACAGGGAATAAGCTGGACATTGGAGAAGTGCTTATCCAGAACGGTTGCGCCATACGTGAAGACCGGAAGATTTAGACAGATGTACCTTATCGACTGTTAGATTTTTGAGATTTATTGTTTATTTATTTATTTAAGACATTATTCGGGATGTGAAGCAGCTCCGTGCAGGCAACAATTTGTTATTCAAAGTGCTACTGGGAAAATATTAATACCCAAAAAGATCTGAAATGCTAGTCCTTGTTAAATCAAAAACCACTTTTTTATAATTTGTTTTCATTTTACATGCCAAAATGATTTTTTTGTCTAATACTTGCTGAAAAAATACTTATCGATGTCTTCTATGTCATTATTCTTCCGTAAAACCAAGGCGTTAATTTTGACATAGATTAAATATTATGTACTAACACTTTTATATTATTTGTTTATTGTAATATCAAAAAGTTGTTGGTTTTATTTATTGTAAAATGTCTTAAAAAGTTATGAAAAAGAAGCAAGTTATTAAATACTGACTGACTTAACTCTGTTACTCTTAAAAAGAAAATTATTCTAAGGCTTATTTATATTTATCTATGTTCTTTGGTAGTTTTGGGATTGCTTTTGTACAATTGTGATTAATCAATTATGTTCCTTGTATTTATCATTATACTAATATACCATTAATGTATGTTACTGATAAGTATTATTATATTTATTTATCCAAGCATATTTTGTATATTGATGCTTAATAATGGTTGTGATAGGTGGGTATTATTGTTATATATATAACTTTAATCCTGTATAGTAGAGCAATGTTTTATTCACTCATCCCACCTCTTATTGGATTTTTTTTTTAATAATACTATTTATATTTAATAATACCCTTTGTGATTAATTATTAGCCGGGTTATTGAATGTCTCGTAATCTGATACCGAGCATTTGTTGAAGTTTTTTGTTTTGTTTTTCTAAGTCATTTCCTGCTCAACTTAATCTAATGGACTGTTTTTATATAGATATTTTTTAAAAAAGTTTATAATGCATTCATTGAACCATTCCGGTTGAAGGTTTTTTTTTATTTATTTATTTTTAGTGTAGAAGAAATTTAGATACTGATCTGTAATTTTTCATTCCATTATTATTATTTTTTTTTTTTTAAATTGAGGTAAAACAAAGAAAGTTTACTATTCTAATTGAGAGGTCAAAAATACAGGGTTTGTAGAATATATTACATGTAAAAAGAATTAAAGAAACAAAAAAGAAAAATTGAGCAATTAGATCCTGTGATAATTATATTGTTTTGGTACGAAACGTGAACTTAAAAGTTCAATAAAATGTAGATGTGCCTTATGTGACGAAGTCAATAGAATATATCTTATTTTGTTAATAGTATAAGAGTTTCTTATTTTATTTGTTATACATTATTTTCTTACAGAATGTTGGTTAATATATTGGTTAACAGCATCAACTTATTTTTTTTATTATAATTACCTCATCTCTATTATGTGACAGATGTTGTTATACCAAGAAACCTGTGTTTCCATCCCTCCTATTAATTTTTTTTGCTTAAGTTGCCTCATCTAATCATAGTTCATTATTAAAGTTTCATATCTAAAGGTCACTTAACATGGCTTCTATGTACTGATATAATAATACAGAAAGTATATTTATCACAGCTGAATTACTTGATCTGTGTAAGTAGTATAAATACTGGGCGAAGTGATGTCATCGTGATGAGCTTAGCGCTGAGTTTAGGTACTTGCCCACACACTCCAAGACTCGGTATTATTTTATTACAGTCCAAGTCAAATAATAAAATGTAAAACTTTTTTTTTTGTTCAGGTCAAACAAAAATTAATTGAAAAATTGTTTAAAATTTTAACAAAACTGTAGTAAATCATTTTTGTAGGATTGAAGTAACGTGAGAGTATTTATTAGACCAAAAGTATTTTACAGAAGAATTAAAAAATACCTAAATCAAACTGATAATAAATAATGAAACAAATTTTAACCTGACGTAATTACTCAAATCCAAAAATTTAAAAATCAATTTGTCTTTTTAATTAAAGTGCTGATTTACTTATTACCTAATGATAAAACAATTGACACATTGTCTGCTGTGATATTTACAAATATATGATATTTATTACTGAAATGACCATAGTCATAATTAATAATAAATTTAGAATCAGATATGGCCCTAAGTTCTTAAAAAGAAATATAAATTTTTTTTATTTATTATGTTATGAAGCTGATATTTTCTTTTCAAAATATTTCAAGAAACCATCACTTTGTAGAAGGTGGACATCAGCATGTAGATAATTGTTAACATTTTATCGTACCCACATACGCCTACCATATTTATTCAACTTAAATACCATAAAAGATGGTGCGTATTAATTAAATAAGATCAAAACTTCATCATATGTATTGTATTTCCGATATAAATGAAAACTATTAAATTTAAGGCTAACGTTTTTTTATTTAAATTATTACCAACTAGTATGCTAAATCAATAGTAGTTGGCCGCTAGGATGAGCAGTTTCAGCGAAATACATAAGCTTAACAAAGGATTGGTAGTTGTGCGATGGGCAGTACCAGTGAAATAGTTCATTTAGAGATATGCTGTCGATTTAAATATTTTAATGCGTTTAAGTATGAGTATAAAAAGTAATAAATAAAACATTGAAATAAAAAAATATATAAGTAGATTTTTTTTTTCACATTTTGCTAATTATATTCTATTCATAAAGACACAAAGTAAGGTAGGTATATTCAAAATCTAATTCATAAATAATTTAGCACATTGCTGGGGAGTAAGTCGCTTTAAGAAATAATTCAGTTTCAACTTCTCAATTCTAGTTTTAGAAGGAGGCATTAACATTATTTAGTTAACATATAAAAGAAAACATAAATATAAAACAATCTTCATCACTTTGCATTATATAAAAAATGAAACTATTAATGTTGTCAATTTACTATGTTATATTTACTCCAAATGACAAGCTAAAATTATGTTCCATTATGGTATGATGTGTTTTATATTTGTTGAAATAAATCTATTTCTAGATTTGAAAATAACAGCCAAAACATCATCTTAATAAAGAAATGAAATCAGTAGTATATGGTATAAAAGGTCCTTTACCCCTTTTTTAAAATTGAATATTTAAAAATAAATGTTAGAAATAAAGTTGTAAGTTAGCCCTGAAAATTTTGGATTTCATTTCTTAAATACATTTCCTTGCCAGATTTCACTTAATAAACCAGGCAATTTCAGATATTATCCCAAGACAAATCATTTATTTTTTTTAATATATAGGGTGCTTCAGGCTAAACTGCAAAAATGAACTAAGGACCTCAAAACAAGAGAAACATTTTCTCTGAAGGTATGTCCGATATTCACAGCACTGGATATGTGTTATTGTTTCGCAAGATTCAATTATCCTTATTCGTAAGAAATTAAGGTACAAAAAAATAAATAAGATTAGACTTTCCTTACCAAACCTCTGTTAATAAATCAAGTAGTTTCAGAGACAATTCCATGATAAATCATTTATTTATTTTTGTAGATCGATGGTTGACTTTAGTGAATAATGAAGAGTAGATTATTTGGGGTGTTTATTTTTCCTTTTTTTATTTTTGACTGAACACTCCAACCAATCTTATCTTCTTTTTTTTTTTTTTATACCTTATCTTAAATCTTTTTATTATAAATGAAATTTATAAATAAAATGTAAAATAATGGAATGTAAAAAATGAATTTGTCGTCATTTAAAATACATTGAATGTGTTAACTAATGAAATTATATGATATCATAGAGTGAAATAAGGGTAAGAAAATTTTATATGACATATCCGATAACTAAAAAACATTTAATTTTAATTTAAGGTCAAAATTATTATTATAAAAAGTATAGAAAGTTTAGATTTTCAAGATGTTCTCAAAAGAGTTTTATCCTTCAGAATTAAATATATATATAGGATTATTACAAAACGAATAGAAATAATTTATTATGGTTATTTATTTCTATTCTTTCTATATATTTTAGAAATGTTTGTCTACAGTGGGGTCATATGGAGTCGATTTCTGATTGGCACCTCAAAACTGTTAAATTTTTATATTTTATTAGCAGTATTTTAGTTTAGAAGCTTAATTTTGTTGTTTAAGTGATAGGTTTAGTTTATTAATAGATAGTTTTTAGTGTTTAAAGTGATAGTTTTGGTTTCATGTTCAGTGATAGGTTTCATCTTCACAGACTCTTATTTTATTAGTGATATTTTGTTTGAAAGTTTAATTGTGTCGTTTTAGTAATAGATTTAGTGTACTAATAGGGAGTTTTTATTTAATTTATTTTAATATAATATAATTTAATATATATATATATATATATATATATATATATATATATATATATATATATATATAAATATTAGTGTTAAAATACGAATATTGAGACTTGCACAAGACCAAGACCCATCATGGTCTCGCATTTGGGTAACACTAGTTGTGGTGTTCAGTCACAAGTAGCAAAGTAAAAATAAATAAATTATTTTATTAAATTTACATTAAATAATTTATTTTTATTAAATTTACATTAAATCATCTATATTTGTTAAATTTACATTAAATAATTTATATTTATTAAATTTTAGATTAAATAATTTACATTTATTTAAAGGTTTTTTTTTTCAAAGGCGAATATTAAGAAGAAAAATAAAAATAGTTTCATAGTTGCTGACTCAGAATTGAGTTTCTAGTTTTCCAATGAAAGTTAATTTTCACTCAGTTTTTATTTAATATTTTAATAGTTATATAAATTTGTTTGTGAAATTTGCCAATGAGAGAGTAAGATGAATAAAATGGAAATCTTAATATGCCGAAATTTATTGGAATATATTTTAAAAGAAGTTAAATAGAAAAAAACAAACAAATATTGTTCTTTGATTTTATTATTTATTTTCGAGTGATATAAGTGATTCATATGCTTCACTCAGCTTGCTCAACTTCAATTCTATCTCCCAAACCATTCTAGTTAATATTTTGTTGCAATAATTAATTTTTAAATTGAAATAACAAAGAGAGACTATTCAAATATTAGTTTCCCGCCGATCCAATATGGCCGTCCCATCCGTATGACCGCACTGTATGTTTGTCTGGATAGTGCTGGCCTCTTGCGGTGTTTACTATAACTATTTTTCATATTTCTTGATTTGTGCTGCTATCTTTTGGCAATTAATTGAACTATTATTTTAATAAAATATTTAAAAATCTTCAATTTTTCAATATATCGTTGTTATTTTTTCTTTTATTGAACGAAGTTGAAAAGATGAATGATTTTGCATATTTAAGTGTGTACTTAGTTATTAGTACATTGCTTTGTTAGTTATTAACTAAATGAAATCTGGAAATAAAATGTAAATTCATGAACTGTAAAAAAAGATTTGTCATCATTTAAAATACATTTAGTGCGTTAATAATTGAAGTTCTATGTTATCATAGCGTGCAATAGGAGTAAGAAAATTTTATATGAAATATCTGATAACTAAAAAATATTTAATTTTAATTTAAGGTCAAAATTATTATTTTAAAAAGTATAGAAAATTTAGACTTTCAAGATGTTCTCAAAAGGTTTTTGTTCCTTCTGAATTAAATATAGATATATGATTATTACAAAACGAATAGAAATAATTCATTATGGTTATTTGTTTCTATTAATTCTTAATTGCACACTGTTGAAAGAAATTGTTAAAGAAAAATTGTTTGGGGATTGCAGACATTGCAGGTACACAAAAATAATTTATATTTATTTTCTTTGGGCTGACATTTTGGTCTAAGTTTTAGACCTTCATCAGTGATAAGCAAAGACCAGATAACAAATTAATACTGAGAAAATTATTTCTAAAAATGATCATATAATGTATGTTGTCTCTGATTTTGTTGCTAAAGAAAATGCCTGATTTCGCAAAATTCCTTCCTACAAGTAACAGGCTTTGGTAGGTGATGTTGCATCCATTCGTCCACTCCAAGCAAGTATTAATTGCCTTTATGACGTTTCTATAACTGACCTATAATGAAAAATAAAATGGATGTAAAGAAATTTTTTAATTTTCTAAAAATTACAGTACTGCTATTGAAATTATCAAGTCAATCTTTACTGGCATTAAAATGCGCTTTGTCTTCTTTCTTTAAAAAATTATTAAAGAAAACTTTTCCTTTTCAACTAATATATCTCCCGCAATTGGACACCCTCATGAGCTTGGCTGCAAAAGCCACAACTCCTGGATCACCGTCTATATTAGCACTAATGTTTTCCGTTTAGAGACACCACAATACAATTTATAAAATACCACACGAAGAAATTCCAGTAATATGTACTGAGAAATACAACCTTTTCCATTTTGTCTCTCGTTAGTCAACTTTAAATTATTTTTCTTTCTTGTTCGGATTACCAATGATTTTTATTATTATGGGGTTCGGATTATCGACATCGTCCTGTTCTTATGAAATAAAGGAACATATTATTATTACTTTCTACTATCTTCTCAGTATATATTTTTTTATCTAGTCTTTGTATCATCCTGATAAAGGCTTGAAACTATTTTTATTTTTTATTTATTCATTTATTACCACCTGTTGAATATGAAAGGCAATCCTTATTATTATATTATAATCAATTAAAATAATCATCTAAACATATTTCTTTAAAACAATTAAACATTGCAGATTAAAAATGAAGACCTCACGAGGACCGTGACAATGTGCACATCTAGACTCAATTCAATACCGATTTCCAACCACATAAGATGAGCTAGCGATGTCCAGTGTTTCAACTTGAAAGGATCAGATGCTCATGACTACTATGTAAGCCGGGAATTTTGTACTTCTGCGTTCGCGATTGATTTTCTTTTGGAACAAATGATGCAGCTCAGGCTCAATTTACATCTCCTTGTGGTGCAGGTAATGATTTAATAAACTACTAATTAATTAATCAAAACTATTCAAAATCACAATCTTAATCAGATCTCCAAACAAAGAAAAAAAATAAGTGTATAATATTGCATAAATATTAATGTGGCCTCAAGAATAAAGCACATTCCAGATTAAGCTTATTGGAGAAGAAATGAGTGTGCATATGATTAGTGGAACATATAAGGCAATCATGGAAATGAATTTACCAGCCAAATCGGTTTGTCTGATGACAATGATAATGGTGAAAAATATATGCTTTGTCACAACAGGAACAGATGTGAGGCAGAGTATCTTGCCCTATAGTGTTTAACTTCTGCCTCACAAAATCATTTAACAGCAACAGGAACACTTCTTAACAAGAAACTCCAGATTTTAAATTTGGATCTTGCAGGAACTGCCTTAAACAATGTGAGAGACGTATTCCAGGCTTTGGAGGAGTCCACAACTAATTACCAGTGAAGACCAAAGTCATTAGTTCATATAGATTTAAAAGTATACAATTCTTTGTTTACTTAGGATCCTAGATTAATCACAAGAATAGTTCAGAAGAAGAAATCCAGGGAAAGATAATCTCAGAAAACCACATTTATATTTCTCTCCAAAAAACCAAGTAAGCGTTGCATTACACAAGAGTTCAAATGAAATAATATATTAAACAATAATCTAACCAGTGCTTATATAGTGTTCAGAATGTTGACATAAGACAAAATAACAAGAGCCAATCCTCTTGTGTGATGAGTTAGGTGCAGAATATAAGAAGTAGATGTAACAACATTCATGAAGTATTCAAGACTTCACTCGACCATATATCACCCAGAATTCTATCCGGAACGTCCAATGCAACATTGAGAAGATAGCGTGGCTGCTGATACTAGATCTCTGCTTAGTATGAAAAATTGGAAATTAGCACTACAGAATAGAGAAAATTGGCAATCTATGACTCATGGATCGCAATGTAGAAGAGCAGTCATTATCATAGTAGCCAAGTAATACAATTTTTCATTAGGGTGTACTAATTTTTGAAAATTTAAATATATTATTTAAAAAAAAAAAAAAGGTTTTAAATAAATAGTTAACTTGACAACACTTTTTTTAATATATATATGTATATTTGTTCATATTGTATAATGAAATAAATAAATTTCAATAATGTAGCTAGCTCACAAGAATATAGCAGAAAAAAATCTCCCCTTTCCACTTACCAGTTGACCTGACGAACAATTGAACTATTATTGAAATGTTTGTTTTCATTTTGCCTTAAATATAAATTTTATGACTAAACTTTCAAGGTATTCAGATGGGAATGTTAGTTTGCACTAGCGGATCCAGAAATTAATTTTTGGGGAGGGGCTTCAGCCCGAAAGATTTTTTTTCTATATACATATAACGATAATTAATTAGAAAAAAAAAATTAACTACCCATATGAAATGGTGTTTAAGTGGTTCTTGAAGTCCTTTTAAATGTAATTACACGAACAAGAATTGTTTAATAGATAGTTTTTAATATTTTTGTCTATAAAACATGTTTATATTTTACCATTTTTGGGGGGGGGGGGGCTTCAGCCCGAAAGCCCTCCCCTTCCCCTGTAGATCCGCCTGTGTTAGTTTGTGCCATATTTTTGTGGACAAGCAATGATGATTACTTTTATTTACTTATTTTTTAATTTTAGATGCTAGCTGCAAATATCCGGAAATTACAAAATATTCAATCATGCACCAAGGTTTTGGTTGCTACAGCTCTTCACGTCACCTCATTGCGACACCTTTATTAATTATGTTAATGATTTTAATGAAATTTATAATATAGAACAGTACAATATAATAGAATGAAAAAAAAAATCAAATTAAAGTATATCATAAAACATACCCTTATGGTTTTATCAATTATTTTGTTACCATCATGTTTAAGCAACAAATGTGAATATAGGCATTTTTTATGAAACCAAAGAATAACAGAAAAATCCAGGTAAATTAATACAAGTAATTGAATACTAGTAGTGTGATCTTACATGTTTGTTACCTAAATACAGTGGTGATTTATGTTCATAAATAAACCTAGATGTTAATGTAATAAGATTGACTGAAGAAGAATGTAATGTAATGATGAACTAAAAAATCTTAAATTAAAAAAAATATAATAAATAGATTAAAAAATAAATATGTGCCAAAAGGGACTTTTTAATTAAATATAAAAATATTCTTAAAAAAGTACAATTATCTAATTTATAGTTTTGTCCTTATCTACTATAATAAATGAAAAAGACAATTTTAAATTAATTTAAATTTTATTTTGTAAATAACAAATATAATAATTACTGAATATTTTCAATTCATCTATTATTTATGATTTAATTGTTAATATTTATATGAAATAAGTCATATTTTGTAATAGTGATACAGTCATAATCCAAAGTATATTCCAGAAAATAAATTGTAGAGAAAAAAACCCTTTATATAAGCAAACTGAGATGTAACACCAGCACATAAAATGATTTGCGATATTTAATCTAGATTAGTACTGTTTTAACATAATTTCAATGCTTATTTTTACTAAGTTTACACTTCATTAATACTTATGGATTGAGGAATTGACAAATGTAAAGTAATTATGAGTAAATAGTATTTTTATTCAATGAATTGTTATAATTATAATTTTTGTATTTCAATTTTAAATTTTCTAGTTCCAATTGAAAGCATTAAGTTAATTACACCTACGATCCATGCTTGGGCTCCAGAACTGGAAGACGGCACCGCTGAATATGGATGACTGGTGGTCAAAGGTGCAAGAGGCCTTCTCTTCGCACAGGACGTAGCGCCACGTAAGAAAAAGAAGAATAAATATTAAATAAAAAAATATAAATACATAAAAAAATGAATGTATGAACTAAAAAATCTTAAATTAAAAAAAATATAATAAATAGATTAAAAAATAAATGTGTGCCAAAAGGGACTTTTTAATTAAATATAAAAATATGTTTAAAAAAGTTCAATAATCTAACAGTTTTGTCCTTATCTACTACAATAAATAAAAAATACAACTAAATTTTATTTTGTAAATAGTTGAGCATGATCTCAGTCAAATCACCTCCTTGCACTACCGTTGACTAAGAAACAAATCTTCCCTTAAGTAGTACTGAACCCAAGACCCTTCATGAGTTGTAATGGTATAGGTTTTTTATTTTGCAAATAACAATATAATTATTACTGAAGATTGTCAATTCATCTATTATTTATGATTTAATTGTTAATATTTATATGAAATAAGTATTATTTTGTAATAGTGATAGCATAATAATCCAAAGTGTATTATAAAAAAAAAAATTGTAGAGAAAAAACCTTTATGTAAGCAAACTGAGATGTAACACCAGTACATACAATGATCTGAGATATCAATTCAAGTTTTTGTAATTTTTTAAGAATTAATTTTCTAGCAATGAGAAATTTTTAAGTAGAATATTCATCATCACTGGACAAATAAACTTTCCAAGAGTTTCAGATCTCTCAGATGAATTGCGTATGTTGGATGATTAAGAAACTTATTATCATAAGCAAAAATATTGTAAAGGACGAGCAAGTAATATATTTTTTGTTAAAATAATAAAGAACATAAATAAACGATTTGTACGCTGTAACTTAAAAATATATAAATAAATTCATCAGCTTTACTATTGTAGAAGACCTATTTTGTAAATTAAAAAGTATTAATTTTAAATCAAACATTGTGACTTAATAGTACTATATATTCCATATGTATAATTCATTATTTCGTTCATATGTATATGAATTTAACTCGTGTACTTGTATTCTTTATGTAGTAAATATATACTATAAATAAGAAAATTGTAGTGTAATATAAGTGGTTATTTTTGTTTATTTTAAATGGTGTATGTAATTTTGTAAAATATATAATATATAAACTAGAGTAAAAGTTTTATACATTACATCCGAAACTTACCATAAATAAATAACAACAATAAATTAAACAATGAAGATGTAGTTAAAGGAAAAAAAAAAAAAAAATATATATATATATATATATATATATATATATATATATATATATCACTATTATTATTTATATTCCTACAGAATTCTTACTTTATCCTTAATTTTTTTTCTTTCTTTTAATATTTAGATTGAAAATAGAAAAACAGGGATTATCTTATTTTTTTAAATATTCTAATCAATTTAGAGCATGAATAAACAGACAATTAGAGTCCCAGAAGCGTCCGTCACCAGAATCTAAGCTGAATACCTACATTTTGTATTATGAATGGAAGAAATAACAGGAGCTCACTTTTAAAAGAGGTCCTGATACCGACAGCGCTGCCATCTGTTGGCAGAACATAGGAACTACGAATTTCATTTGAATTATAAGCGAGAAACTCGTCGATTTGTACTAGGATATTAGGAAGTTGCAGGAGCTCACTATTCGAGCCGACCAGGAGCCTGGGTAGTGCTGCTTCCAAGCGGCGACTTTTAGAACTACTATTTCGATTCCTCCATTTTATTGATATTTAGACGAAATAGGAGTAAAGAGGAGTTATTTTGAACAATTTTAAAACAATTTAATCGATTCGCTACTTGAATAAACACGCAAATTATATAGTTTAATATAAGATATAGATATTATAGGAAAAAAATGTATTGAATTAATAAATGATGGAAATTTGGAATAAAAAAAGAAAAACAGGGATTATTTTATTTTTTTTAAATATTCTAATCACTTTAGAGCATGAATAAACAGCCAATTAAAGTCCCAGAAGCCTCTGTACCCAGAATTTAAGCTGAATGCCTTCATTTTGTATTATGAATGTAAGAAATAACAGGAGCTCACTATTCGAAGAGGTCCTGATACCGAGAGCGCTGCCATCTGTTGGCAGAACATAGGAACTACGAATTTTATTTGAATTATAAGCGAGAAACTCGTCGATTTGTACTAGGATATTAGGAAGTTGCAGGAGCTCACTATTCGAGCCGACCAGGAGCCTGGGTAGTGCTGCTTCCAAGCGGCGACTTTTAGAACTACTATTTCGATTCCTCCATTTTATTGATATTTAGACGAAATAGGAGTAAAGAGGAGTTATTTTGAACAATTTTAAAACAATTTAATCGATTCGATACATGAATAAACACGCAAATTATATAGTTTAATATAAGATATAGATATTATAGGAAAAAAATGTATTGAATTAATAAATGATGGAAATTTGAATATTTGGGTTAAAAAAAGAAAAACAGGGATTATTTTATTTTTTTTAAATATTCTAATCACTTTAGAGCATGAATAAACAGCCAATTAAAGTCCCAGAAGCGTCTGTACCAGAATTTAAGCTGAATGCCTCCATTTTGTATTATGAATGGAAGAAATAACAGGAGCTCACTTTTAGAAGAGGTCCTGATACCGATAGCGCTGCCATCTGTTGGCAGAACATAGGAACTACGAATTTTATTTGAATTATAAGCGAGAAACTCGTCGATTTGTACTAGGATATTAGGATGTTGCAGGAGCTCACTATTCGAGCCGACCAGGAGCCTGGGTAGTGCTGCTTCCAAGCGGCGACTTTTAGAACTACTATTTCGATTCCTCCATTTTATTGATATTTAGACGAAATAGGAGTAAAGAGGAGTTATTTTGAACAATTCTAAAACAATTTAATCGATTCAGAACATGAATTAACACGCAAATTATATAGTTTAATATAACAATAGTTATTGTAGGGAAAAAAATATATTTATTTAATATATAATGGAAATTTGAATATTTGGGTTAAAAATAGAATAACAGGGATTATCTTATTTTTTAAAATATTCTAATCAATTTAGAGCATGAATAAACAGACAATTAGAGTCCCAGAAGCGTCCGTTACCAGAATCTAAGCTGAATGCCTCCATTTTGTATTATGAATGGAAGAAATAACAGGAGCTCACTTTTAGAAGAGGTCCTGATACCGATAGCGCTGCCATCTGTTGGCAGAACATAGGAACTACGAATTTTATTTGAATTATAAGCGAGAAACTCGTCGATTTGTACTAGGATATTAGGAAGTTGCAGGAGCTCACTATTCGAGCCGACCAGGAGCCTGGGTAGTGCTGCTTCCAAGCGGCGACTTTTAGAACTACTATTTCGATTCCTCCATTTTATTGATATTTAGACGAAATAGGAGTAAAGAGGAGTTATTTTGAACAATTCTAAAACAATTTAATCGATTCAGAACATGAATTAACACGCAAATTATATAGTTTAATATAACAATAGTTATTGTAGGGAAAAAAATATATTTATTTAATATATAATGAAAATTTGAATATTTGGGTTAAAAATAGAATAACAGGGATTATCTTATTTTTTAAAATATTCTAATCAATTTAGAGCATGAATAAACAGACAATTAGAGTCCCAGAAGCGTCCGTTACCAGAATCTAAGCTGAATACCTCCATTTTGTATTATGAATGGAAGAAATAACAGGAGCTCACTTTTAGAAGAGGTCCTGATACCGATAGCGCTGCCATCTGTTGGCAGAACATAGGAACTACGAATTTTATTTGAATTATAAGCGAGAAACTCGTCGATTTGTACTAGGATATTAGGAAGTTGCAGGAGCTCACTATTCGAGCCGACCAGGAGCCTGGGTAGTGCTGCTTCCAAGCGGCGACTTTTAGAACTACTATTTCGATTCCTCCATTTTATTGATATTTAGACGAAATAGGAGTAAAGAGGAGTTATTTTGAACAATTCTAAAACAATTTAATCGATTCAGAACATGAATT